TGTATTGTTAATGTAGGATATTACACCTGTGCTAGAGAAAGATGCCAATGAAGTACTTCAATTATGTTCAGATGAAAAGCAAGTTTTGAAATATTAATGATTAGTGAACTAATTTCTAATTCTTAATAGTTCTGACATTAAAAAAGCTAACGGGATCATAGAAGGACTGAAAGAGAGAATCACTGAGCTACAGAAAGAGTCTCTTTGTCTGAAACGTCACTTCAATTGGCTAATGATACTCTAACTAATCTCAAGACTGAGCTACTTTCCTCACACGAGAGAATATCTGTACTGGAGAAACAGCTTTCTGAACAAGCAGCCCAGCTAGGACAAGCACTGGCCGAAAGAGAGAAAGAGTTTAAAGAATCACTAGCAAAGGAGACACAAAAAGGAAAGAAGAAGCACGACCAATTGACAAAGAAATATAATAAGCTTCTTAAAACACAGCAAAGTCTTAAAGAATCTTCTGTCAATAGAGAGAGAGAACTCAGTGAGGCTTACCAGCTACTTCAAGACCAGCTAAGAGAAGCAACTTCAGACGCAATAAAGAGCAACAGGGAGCTAGAGGACAATAAAGCACTTGCTCAGAAGCTGTTGGAGCAATTGGAAGCAATGAAAGGACTGAAGAGCAATTCAGACATAACTTACAAGCAGCAGCTAGACGCACTGAGACAAGCATTGGAGGAGAAAGAGAACCAGCTCTCAGAAATAACTAACGATTTCTTAGAAGAGAAGCTTCGGGTGGCTCAAATGAGAGGAGAGAATAGCTCTTTACTGTCAAGGATTAACTCACCGGAGAAAACTAATCCTTTTTCAATAAATAGACAGGTTCGTTGTTGTCTGGATCTACATTTTGTCATCCCGTTATTTTTTATTATACTTTGCAGAAATCTGACGATATTTTAGAACAAGAGAAAACGTCTTTACGATCAGCACTTCAATCCAGTCAAGCAGAGGTATAGCCCAATATAATTATTGTTCTAATTAATTATTATTTATGTTAATAGATTCACAGATTGTCTGGTTTACTCACTAGACGTGAAAACCGTGTCAAATCATTGATATTTCAAAAGCGCTACTTAATCAATGAGCTTGATGCATATTTTCACACAAGTCAAGCAGCTCTGCTCATGATACAGGATATGGGTGGAGTCCCGTGGGAGCCGCCTCATTTGCGTCACAGGAAGAAAAAGGATGGAAAGACTTTCAAGAGATTTGGTGTCCTTGTGTGCTGTGTAGTTAGACTGAGAAGACTGGGAAAGAGAAGACATTCTCACAGAATTAATGGATATATTCCTGTAGCTAGTCAAATCAAACCCTCTAAATAATAATAATAATAATACCAATAATATGTCACTTATGTATTTTTATTTTTATTATTGCATTTTAATTAATTTTACTCTCAAGTGTTTGCCTGTTTGGTGGGTGTGGCTATAGTTTAAAGGGGGCGTGGCCAAACGTTAACAATGGGTGCATCTGTAGCTGGACACGTAATTCCTGGCCTGTTCTTTCTCATTCACGGGCTAATATGGTCTCTATTCTCATTTTGGATACACCTAACAACTCCGGGAAAGCCTTCAAATGTCCCAAACAAGAGCAAGTCCCGTCAAACTCGGACCTCTCACTCTCTTTCTTATGGGCACTTCAAGAGAGAGATGGAACTGAATAGGAAGTCTTATATACCTCAGCCTTTCTGTCGTAACATACCAATGGAGCCCATCATTAAAGTGCTCCTCCCACTAGTGGGCATGCTCCTTGAGCTATTTATAATAGAGAAGGAAGGGAAGGCTCAGTTTAAGCCGATCCTCGGGTCAGACAGTATGCGTATACATCATGTCACTATGTACTGTGGGTTTTTCCTTTCCGGTCTTATCGATTTGATAACGCTGTTTGTTAAAGTACCTCGAAACACGACCAAGCTATTTCTAACGCTTGCTTTTGCGATAGAAGGATTGTTATTTTGGTTTCATAGAGATGAGAATGATGACAGTCCCATACTATCTGCCGCTCACTTACTCCTGTTCCTACCTATCATGATCTGTGCTTTATTCTCTGGCCTGAGGATGCTATCGACTGTTAACCTCATGATCAATGCTGGTTTATCATACGGGATCTTGCTACAAGGTTCATGGTTCATACAGGTGGGGGTTGTCTTACACAGAGCTAACGTTTGGGACTTTGCCAGCTACAATCAAGTCATGCTCCTAGTTTCTATCTTCTCCTGGCATTCGATGTCCATCTTTTGCTTTCTTTTTGTTCTTTTTATCATCATGAGTGCTGCCATTAAAAGCAGTTCTGTGTGTCATCGCTCCTCCAGAGCCAGGCGTCATTGGTTACCATCACTCCTGCCTACCGTTGCTACCAATGGCAACAGCGAGGAAGGTGAACAGTTAATTAAAATTGAAGAGAAGCCACCACTTATTGCTGAAACAGCGACTTAAATATTATTATTATATTATTATCGTCTCAAAGCGATTTTTTTTGTTTATAACAATTGTTTATAACATTTTTCATTTTCATATAAATTATTTTATTTGTCTAAGAGTTTTATACGACTCTTCACTTAAGAGACTCTCAGTGACAGTGCTTGCTTCATTTAACTTATTAGGTAGCAATATTGCTATATAGCCTCTCCCTTGGGGCTGGGAAGAAAGCTCAAGGTAAAGGACATTTTACTACAAATCAATTGGCTCTCACTTCAATTTGTAGCAGCTGTGGTTCTTTCAGTAATTGGTCATTTATTTCAACTAGCATACCCTTTAAGCAGCTGCAATAAAAGCATATGCCATGTATACATGAATTACGAATATGCATAATAATACCTGTACAGCACATATTTCTTGTTGTCTTTTGTATGTACTATTGCAATTGGTGAAGTAGCTGTTAGCTTCTGTCCTCCCTCTAAAGCATATTCATTCAGATGCATGCATGTATCAGTCATAATCTGTGGTTGTTTTACTTTTAAATCGTCCACTGACAGGATTATCTGATCTATCCACTTTGCCAATCTGAAACTCAATCTCTCTCACTTCATTACTACTTTGATCTTTTATTAATGGATGAGTCTCTGCTAAGCAAACTATCATCACTCTATTATGTGTAATGTTAACGATCATTGATTACATACAACCCGCCAATAACCTGTTGCTGTGCTGCAATATGCAATGATCTTCATTTTCTCTTCCTTTTACATCTAAAATACATAAATACATTAATGGAGACATATCTGGGCTACCTATTGCATAAAATTTAGTGTAATATCTATCCACTACAGATGGAATGGGTCCCCTGAGTGAACCCCAACCATCAAAAGTGTCCATTTTTGTAGTTTTTTTTTGCGCATGCGTATAAGTACCACGTGGTAACACCGCCCAGTTACTCGACCACGCCCACACAACAATGGCCTCCCAGTTGAGGAGCAAAGTTAAATCCTCCGTGAAATCTCTCCTAACCAGACAGGTAAAAGTCTGACAGAGTGGAGCCAAGTGGCAGCTCATTCTTATTTTGTAGAAAGATAAATTTGAGGATGGAGGCGAAGATCTATCGTCTGCAGCGAGCAGTCAAAACATTGGACCAGCCAAGGATGTATCACCTTTACATACTGACGAGATGGTAGATGATGTAAGAGCCATTTGACTAGCAAATGCTGTCATTTTATGCTTTTCCTATCCCCGCCTTGCTTTCCTCCTTTTCTGATCTCTCTGTGGTGTTCCTGTACACTCTTCATTCTTTGTTTTTCTTAGATTATCAGTGGAATGGATGAGGTTTATTTTGATGACAGTCCTGGACACGACACTGCAAGATACGAATTAACGGTAAAGGACCACTAGTAACCATTCATTACCGTTATATGTATGCAACTATTTATTATTAACTAGAAACTAGGCGACGGTGATATTGACATGAATTTATTAGTGGAGAGGATTCTCTTACTAAAGAAAGAAGACGGAGCCGTAGGACTCACTGCTAGCCTTCTACTTATGACTCTCTTCCTCTTTGTAGATTTATAAGAAAATCTATGACCTCGTGTATGGCAACTATACAGCATATGTACAGGCAAGGAAGATAGATGGAGAGAAAGAGAGAGAGAATTTTATTCTTATTTTAGGAGTTGGAGAATGTCACTGCTTTAGAGATATCATTGCAAGAAACGACGAGGACTTGTGTGAATAGCAGGAGGTATGGGAATGGAAACATGGGAGTATGAGAATGAGTCTCTCCATAGGCAGCTAAGGATGGCTAAAGATGGAGTGTCAAGCGGTGGGTTGGGCCTATTGGCAAAACACAGGAAGAGAAAGAGGCTCCAAGTTTTGCTCAAAATATTGAAAACATTTAAAACACTGGTAGAAAAATAATTATTATTATTAGTTCGATCATTATCATTTTATTAGCAAAAGGCTGAAGCTACACTTAAAGAACAGCTTGAAGTAAATATTATTATTATTTTATCATTCATTACTATTAATTATCATTACTATTAATTATAATTACTATTAATTATAATTCATTGATAGGAAGGCGATTATCCTGGAGCAACAAGAATATGCTTGTGGTGTCAGCAAGCGATTGAAACGTACAAACAATTTACTTGTGTCAGGTAAACAACAACAGCAACAACAACATTATATTTATTTATTTTTATTTACAGCCAATTAGCTGTTTCATTACAAGACATTCATACAGTCATTGAGGTAGCAATGATGTCATGTCTTATAATAGATTTTGTTACTATTAATAGAACGAACTCGAGCAAGCTTTGAGTAGAGTTCCGACCAGTTTTGATTCATCTGTGTACGGACAAGTTAATGATGCCTACCAGATATTAGGGAAAACACAGGTATAGGGTCTTAACTAAAAACCACGTCTTTAACTATTATGCCCATTACAGAGAGCTAATGATATCCTGTTAATGAAGTTTACAACAGCAATTCACGATAATGCATATAGAATAGTATCCAGCTATGCAGAGGTTAGAAAGAGAGAGAAAGAAAATATTTTCATATTTCTTTATTCAGGGTGTTGGTGATCGAAGCAGTTACAGAAGCATCTGCAAGCTAGTGAAACCCGAGAAATTTACCGACTGTCTCGTGGAGCTGTGTCGAGTAAGATTACACTTACGGTCGTTATTATTTTAACTTTTTTCTGGACTAGATATTCTGGAATATTATGTATAATTACAGGAAAGTGCATCAGTGGCACATGCATTATGATGCAACAGTCTCTCCTAGTTCAATAATAGACTCTCAGCTAATGATAGAGGGAGAGGAGGGGAAAGGAGGAGGAGGAGGAAAGAGTGATGCAGCGATCGCTGAGATCACTTTTCACAGGAATTACATAAAACAGAAATTAGATAACGGCTTCGCAAGAATGTGGAGGGTAAATATGATGAAGTACATGCAATGAACTCATTTCGGACCATTATAGGATGTACAGCAAAAGCTCCGACCATATTTGGAAGGCTGCGACATGTCTACTTTCCAGTACGACAGTTTTATCAGAGTCTTGAACATTGTCAACAGGTGGGTCTGGCTTGAAACTCATAACTTTATCTGTGCCATAGATTGATCACTATTGGGATCGAGTTTTGCGGTGAGGGATCAGATCAGCTTCAAGAATCAATGAGACAGCAATCCCTTGGATACTTTAGACACTATCATAGGTTCATCACATACTAACTGAGAGATGTGATTCTTTGATGTTACTATTTTTAGAGCAAGACTGGACGAGCTGAAGTTATTTTTAGAAAGTGAACAATGGGTGTCCTGTCCCATACGCTCAAATTTCACTGTCAACATATTAAGGGTATCATTATTATTTATTTATTTATTTATTACTATTATTATTTCTTTATTATTATTATTATTATTAATTTATTATTATTATTTAGGAGTTTCGTTTCCTTCGTACTGGTATGACCACGCCCACCAGTCCTCAGAGATTCCTTGCCTCGCGTGCTATTGGTCAGTTATCAAAACTACACCTCTTTTGTACCCTCACCCCCTCCATTATAGACTCAAAAGATAACATCTTTGAGCGATACAAGGAATCAGACAATCCGTTTGAAGAAGAAGTTGAAGACGAAGAAACAGAAGAGGTTGTAGTGGATACCAGGCAGGTAATACCCTCTGTCTCTTTATGCCCTCGCGATTAATGGAGTGTATCCTACTCACAGTATGATAGTGATGAGTATGATGATGAACCAAGCTCAGCTTCTGCTGAATTAAACAGATCTTATGTTGATGAGAAGACCGGAGATGCTCCTCCTCCAAAGTAGGGAATAGTATTGATGATCATGTTACTTGTTTGAGTAGGGCTAAGCCGAAAGGTTACAGTCGGGAGAGATCAGAGAGTGACAGAGGGGAAGCTGTACTGGCTAATGTCACATTGACTGTTGTCAGATTTTGTGGTGAGTGACAAATATTGGCTCGTTTTTTAAATGCTTATAACTCGAAAAATATTTGTCGGAAACAGCTCAAACTTTCTACATAGTATAAGGACATCAATATGCATCAGAAAATATAATAAAAATTTGGGGTGATTTTGGAGCCATTTTTTGGAAAAACCATGGGCTATAGCTATAGTACAGGGTATTTTTCTGAATTTGGCCCATTTTTTAAAATGGCCATAACTCGAAAATTATTTGTCGGAATCAGCTCAAACTTTCTACATAGCATAAGGACATCAGTATGTATCGGAAAATGTAATAAAAATTTGGGGTGATTTCGGAGCCATTTTTTGGAAAAAACCATGGGCTATAGTACAGGGTATTTTCAGAAATTGGCCCGTTTTTGAAATGGCCATAACTCAAAAAATTGAAGCCAGAATCAGCTCAAACTTTCTACATAGCATAAGGACATCAATATGTATCAGAAAATGTAATAAAAATTTGGGGTGATTTCGAAGCCATTTTTTGGAAAAAACCATGGGCTATAGTACAGGATATTTTTTAGAAATTGGCCTATTTTTAAATGGCCATAACTCAAAAAATTGAAGTCGGAATCAGTTAAAACTTTCTAGATAGCATAAGGACATCAATTTTGAGCAATGCATTTATTATTATTATGTCTATTAGGTAATTATATGCAAATGATGAATGTACTCCAACCAATAGCTTATGATGTATTGCAGTACCTAACTAATCTATTTGACTATTATCTTTATGCTGTAAGTTAATGGAATATTGTAATGTATTTATGAATACAATGATCTTTAAATTAATAGGTATACACATTCTTTGCTCAAGATATGGTAATTTTCATTATAATTCATGAGTGCTAATGTCATTTTGTTTTTCTAGGTCAATGACGATAACCAATTGAGTGCTAAGTTGAGTGCCTCTTTGGCTCGTATTGCTAATACATTATTAACCCATGTAGGCATGGCATATGTGTATTGTCAGTATATTCTTGTATTCTCTAGGATTCTAGCGTCTTATCTTCCGGTGATAATGTAAAGGTGTGAAATATTTAATTATTTTCATGATTGTAATTGTTTTTTTTTACAAAGGTTCCTTATCCAGAGGCTAATCCGTTCATACAGTTGGATAATGTAGCCAGTCTCTATGGATTAAGCTTTAGAATAGTAGCCATTGAATCACTGTGAGAGAGAGAGAATCAAGGAAAAGGATGGTGGTGTTTATTTCTCTCTCTCTCTCTCTCTCTCTCTCTCTCTCTCTCTCTCTTAGTGTATTTTTAGCAAAGCAGTTTGAATACTTGCTGCCAAATCTTGAAAGGCTTATCCCCGAGGACAAGAAATATTTTCTGACACAATTCTTCTCACAAGTCAGTTGCACTTTCATGATTATTTTAAAGATTACCAATAATAATTTGGGGAATTTTTTGCCCATCGCATGTACATGTACTTGTGCCATTATTATTATTATTATTATTACTGCTATTTTGTAGACTGTCATACCTTGTTATGAGCTAAGGCTTCCAGTTTACAATACTATTGCATCTAAAGGAATACCTACAGATCAAGTAATGCTGAAGTCATTGTGTTTTGGTATAATTATTGTCTCTCCTACGTTACATCAGATATTACAGTCAATGTCTTCAGTTAAATTTGACATAAAAGAGATTACCTCACAGCACAGCAGATATGTGGACCAGCTTTTAAATGTAAAGGAAATAAAAAATCACTACTTTTTGACTCCCCTCTTCTCTTCTCTTAGGAATTTTCACATTTTAAGGAACTTATCGATTACATTAATAAGTAATGACAATGATAAAAAAATGAATGATTAATAAAACTATTTTAATTTATAGACAAGTACATATACCTCTTGAATCTAAAGCAATATTGTGGAACAGAGTTATACTGACTGCTTGTCACACCTTTGTTGATGGGTAATTATTATTATTATTATTATTATTATTATTATTATTATTTGTTTGCTGTTAGTTTTTCTCAAGTTAAAAAGTGTTCAAATGAAGGCCGTGCTCTTATGCAACTTGACTTTCAGCAGTTTCGTACTAAAATAGAAAAGTTGACAAATTTGAGGTAAAACTGAAAGTCATCATATAAAACACATTGTTTTAACATTAGGCCACTCCCATCTCATGAGTACGTGGAGAATTATATTAAAGCTTATTATTTATCTGAATCTGATCTAGAGACGTGGATTGTAAAACATACTGTAAGTGGATTTTGTATATATTGCTATTGCATTGTCTTGTGTTGTGTAGGAATATTCCAGTAAGCAGCTTCAAGCCCTTGTATTGTGTGGCTCTGGTGGACTCTTGAATAAGAAATCTAAGCAAAAATTACTATCATTGATAGAAAAATAAAAAATAATCTTTTTTAAACATTTGTATTGGCTATATAATGTGATAACATTGCTAATTATTATAAACAAAAATTATTAGATGAACTTTTTAACTTCAAATACAATTTTATTAATATCAACAGTGACAATGGCTCCTTTCTCCTTCACAGAATTTATTAGCTTGTGTGTTCTTCCTAAGTGTTTTGCTAGCGTTATAAAAGCGGCGTTACCTCTCTGCGACTTTGGGACTAGCTCTAAAACGACTCCTTTTTTCTGAAGCCACCACAAGTGTACCATACCAGCTCCATGCATAGCAATCATAACATCAGTTTCATGCATTATTCGTATTTGCTCACATATTGGTAGTGCCTCAGCATACAAACCAGTAACACTAGCTTGCGGGAAAGACTCTCTTAGTTTGTTGATAAGGTCTTCCGAATTGGTCCATATCCTTCGGAATTTTTTAACCGGGTCACCTTTATACCTCTCATATCTCTTTCTCTCTATGACGGTTATCTTCTTTGTCTTAGAGCCTTCTCTGTTACTGGTGTCATTATCCTTCAGTGAGCAGCCGGTAATTACATGTTCTCTGAATGACGTTAGGTCTGTACTCAAACCTGCTCCACTGCATGTCAAACATCTCTTCTTCATAGCAGCGCCGTCCATCTTACACCGGAACATTGGTGCGCCATACGCCCATGAGACAAGCTCCAGGGTCTCAAAGCAAACATTCTCATAGCCAGTAAGGTTTTCCAATGGAATGACATCCCCGAATAATTTTCTCTCAAACTCTGGAAACATAAATTCTCCTTCAATTTCTGGCATTCGAATGATGTGGAGGTTGTTTCTCTCTTCACTGTGCTGCCTCAGGGACCGATAGAGATTGTACCACGAAAGGAATCGAAAGTAAATATGCTTTGCCATTCCAACGTAAAGCAAAGTGGTACCGCTTATGTAAAGCTGGCAGGACTTTCCTTTGCTCGAAATGAGTGTTGACATCTTGACCATTGGTACTATTGGATCAAATTTCTCCATGTGAGTTTCCATGTCATGGAAAGACGGATTGGGACATTCTCTTTTCCCCAGCAACCACACAGAGCTTGAGTCGAGTATCTTTTCGACTTTAAGTGTCGTCATCACGTTGTACAATGCTGTTGGATCGATTCCAACTCTTTGTAATGTACATGTGCCCATCTTTTTACTGTGTGCAGTACCGTAGCATGTTATTCTGTCTGAACACACTTTAAACTTATGTTCATATGTTGTACCTAGAAATCCTCTGCAGAATCCATCAGGCCAAGTTGAGCCTTCATACGTTTTCCAAAGAGAAGGAATATCAGTCAAACCAGAAGGACGGAGGATAAATGAGGAGTTGTGTAAAGCTGGAAGATGGCTTGTGGTATTTAAATGTGACGATGAGCTGGTGGAAGAGGGCGAGAGGGAGGGATAGCTATCATTTGTTTCTTCTCTTGTTGCTGGGGATAATTCTGTGAATGCTGGGATGAGAGGAGCCGATCTACTGCTGATTAAATTAGAAGGTGCCCTTGTCGTGATTGTTAATAGGTAGATCTGTAGAAATGTAAAAATGAGGACGGAAACAAAAAAGAATATAGAAATGGATTTGATCTGAAACACCATTTCTAAGGAGGCGTGACGAGAGCGTTGGCCGCGCCGCCTAAAGTTAGGCGTGGTTAATGGGTGCGGTTTGTAAAATATGGCCGACAATATTTCTGTATCTTCATCCATTAGCAATGCATCAGGTATGAATAAATTGAATAGAATATCACATTATAATTGTTTTAGTCCTCAGTTTTGATTTCAATGCTCAAGACATTCACCCATCCTGTCCTGAAAAGATAGTAAGTCGTCAGGAGAGGCGAGAGATAACTTTGTTTTGATCTTAGGTATTCTGTATCGATGTTTCTGAAGATGTATCAATTACTACTGTGAAATCTAAAGACAGGTAATGTTGTTATGTGTTGTTGTTATTATCCATCATAATTTAGAGGTGATTTGCCGTTGTTTACGGTATGGAAGAATGCTCTAACACAATTTGTTTTCAACAAATCGATGATGGGCAAACACGAATTTGCGCTAATGATTTTAACTGATAAAGCTAATTGGGTAATTGTCACAATCATAGTATAGATAGTGATGAAATTCAATTATCATACTTTGATCCAGTTTTGTGACTTCAGTAGTGATCCACAGCTAGTCTCAGATGCACTTACATCCCTAGAGAATGTCCAAGAAAAATACGACTCATTTGGTAATAATTGATAGTAAAATGTTGCAAGTATTGATTGATGTCCATTTTTTCTTGCATAACAAACAGATACTTCTTCCATATTCTCAGCAATGTAAGTGTATCAGGGTATCGGGCTACCTGCATATGTGCATTGTTTGTTTTATTGTAATGTCATATAGATATGAGAATTGTCCTCCTCCAAGCGTTTGTGTTGGCTCATCAATGTCTCCCCCTCCATTCATTGTTAGAGTTATTATATTGTATGGCAGGTCTCATTGTTTACCTGTTTACAGAGGGGAATCCGAGGTAAAACAGTAATCCCACACTTGGTAATGTGAAGCTGCTATTAATAATTCCATTAAGATATTCTGTATTGAGGCATGCTGTAATTTGTTGTAGCACTCATTAGGCCAAGTCCAGACAATAAAATGTAAAAACTGTTTACGCATTGGAGCGCATCAAAAGGCACATACTATTAAACTTAAATTCTTTTCAATCCTAACTTATTGCTTTTTTTTATCATGTTGCTAGGCCCACAGTGAGCTAATGGCCTCGCCTCATTTTTTCTTGGATGTTTTGTATAGTCACGACCCACCAACAGGCCACAATGTCTGCCAGGTACTATTGATAGTAGAATTTCAATTACTATCTTCCTCTCCCATCCTCTTAGAGCATATTTGACATACTATCAGAGATATATCCTAAACCCAAGGCATTAGTGTTGGACTGGAGTGCGAACCTTGTCAAGTTATATAATTTTTTTGCAAAACTTTTAGCCCATCCATTGCAGAGACCCGTACAATCGATGATGGACAATAGATTGATTTCACAAAAAACATAAAGAGATAATGACATGCTAATAAAATTAAATAAATGTAGCAATAAAAATAAATAATGATGTGTGCAGATGCTTGCATGTTAAAAAATCTTATTTATACTGGATTCGAGCATTCGAATTTTGTGTACAAGTTTTCGACAGCCCTTTTCCCATTGCTTGAATTGGGACTGGATTTGCCCCACGAAGTGTCTTGTAGAATGTCTTTATTTATTTCAGGCAAATCGATACTCGTGGTGGCTGCAGACTTCTTGTATTTGAGACAAAAAATGACTAAAATGAGTGTCATTATGATGATTAGTATGAACAAAAGCGTTATGGCTGCAAGTAAAAAGTACAGAGTAGCATTGAAATGAAACGTGTCATTGCTTGGATTAAGTGAGTGAACAGGAGAAGATGATGTTACTGGCCGACTGATAGTAACCATTACTCCACTAGTAAATGAACTACTTGTGGTTGATTGGCTGTTGCTAATGGTAGTAGACTGACTAATTACTGTCTTACTGGAACTGATTCCATTACTGGCAGTTAGTGTGTAGTAATGGGATGATGGGCTAATTGTATTACCAAGTATTGTGGAAATATGCTGAGAAGAATGCAGTGAAGCAGCTGTTGAGGGGTCACAATTCTCTCCAACTTGATACACATCACTCCATTCACCGTATCCAAAATCATTTTTACTGCGGATCTGTTAATTATTAATATGATAAGATCAGTTTTCAAACTCACACAATTACCTTGAATGACTTGCATTCGTCAAATACCTCTATAGTGTAGTCTGTGGAGTTTTCCTACGCAATCGAGTGACCATGAATTCATTATTACCATACAAATATGTCTCACTGTTGCATAGACTATCCTGTTTACTCCTCTGAGCTCAATCTGATAAGACAATAACATCCAGTGTGATTCTTGTGGTGGGCACCATGTTATAGTGTACGTGTTGTTACCAGTTCTTGATGAATTAATGCATGAAACAGGGGAAGGAGGAACGGCCCGCCATGTAGCATTGATGACACAGTATTCTGACTTGGGGGCTTTCCTCCAGGAGTAGTTGTTGTCTTTCGTTGCAATGACCTGTATTCAAGTAATTTTTAGCATACCAAAGAGTTAACTCGATGCTATACCTTAATAGTGTATTGCTTGTTGGTATTTGGGTGGTATAATGGATAAGGACCAACATCTGTTCCATACTCAAACTCGCCATCCTTTGAATTACAATTCATTAAGTCAATTAACGAATTCGAAGCCACAACTCACTTGTTTATCTATAATAAAGTCCCGATATTCTGTGCCTCCAACTGTTATTTTAACCCTAAAATGTTGTATTGTGTCTAGGATATAAGACTCATTGGCAAGCATCCAGTACAGGGAGACATTCAATGTATTCAAGGACATCAAAGGGACACACTCTAGAGTCATATTAGGAGTGTCCATCAGTACTACAAAAAGAAGATACCATCATAGTATTATGGGATGGAATGCTACATACACTGTGGCTCGAGTATATTCTGTCGGGGATATGCTGCACCAGGAAAAACGGGATGCACAATGAACTAAAACACACAATGTTTGATTGCCAACAACAAAGGATTGTGGGCCTACCGATGAAATGTATTCCGAACCAAAGACAGGAGGCAGGGAGGGGGCTGATGCTTGAATGAGAAACCACTTTGAGTACTATTTTGTTGATACAAATATTGATAGTAAAACATTACATAATTAATTATGCTCACTTTGTCTATGGTAAAGTGAGTGACCTGATGTAATGAGAAAGATTCTAGGATGACTTCATAGTGAGTAACATAACCCAATGCTATTGTATATACAGATAAGATAGCATAATTATGCCACACATGGTAATATACTCACAAAGTGAACTACTGTTCCACGTAACGTTTATTAGTGCATTTCCGAGATACCCTTCTCTATAATCTTCATAATATTCATAAGTTAGATCACTCCTCGTCAACTGGTTAGGATAAATGTACTCTAAACATGATCAGTGAGAGAAGGTGTTAATGAATCTCCCACACACACAACATGATAATCACCTCCTCTAACACAGTGATCCAATACAGGTGAAAAATCAACAGACCTCCCATACATGTTAACAGGGGCATAAGAGAGACTAACTTCTCCACATGAGTATTGTCTTAGGTTCAAAATGACTCCATTAAGTGATGGCTAGAGACCAGACATAATGAGCTTAATGGCAATGTAATTCAATTAGGCGATGCTTACCACCCACAAATATTTAATTTCGGCCTGTTTTTGCACCTTTATGACAAAAGAATGAACAAGTGTTGAGTTGGGAGCAGAACTCCTCTCAATAGATAATTGAATAATGCCTGCTGTATTGCTGTTCGCTGCTTGTAGGAATGTGTCTGGAGTAAATGGCAACTCACCTGCAAAAACATGATTACGTTATGCCCAGAGGAAGTGACAAACATACCTCCAGTGTGACTGCTCAGTATGTTCTCAGCATATTCCTCACAGCCGTATCGACAGGGAGTTCGTCTCTGCATATACAAGTACAAGTTAAATTAATTGGGATATTTGTTCACTCACACATCGTCTGCTGCAAGTCGTATTAGCATTGTTATACTTGCAGGTGCCGTTGCATTCCAATAAACAGCCATCATGCTAGAGACAAAACAATCCTTATTAGACCCTCACTAAAGGAATGAATGGCTTACACATTTTTGACGACATTCTGATCTATTATTGCTTATACTTCGTAATATGCAACCAGACTGACATTCCATAACCTAATGATATCACAAGCAATTATATTCGCATAGCTACACTTTATAGCCCCCCAGCCATTCCTCTCCACTGTCATTCCTCCCCACTGTCATTCCTCCCTTGTTTAGTTCAAAACAATGCACAAAACGTAAACAAAATTCTTGAGCAATTAGTACCAAACAGTATAAATGCATATAATTTATAATCAATTCCCATGGCCGCAATGTAATGGTAATTAATTAGATTTGTTTGTTGGCTGTACGATGGAGGAAGTTTCATTATTATGTACCTGTTGTAACTCAGTGCAATAGTCCCCATTAAAAGAGTCAAACGAGACAGAATAATACTCCCCTGATTGTTCATAAAATACCTGTAAACATAAGATGAGAGTAACAGTTGTGACAAATGTAGTTGGTCATAATACTCATTAGTTAACTATAGGATGCATGCCTTGCTTATCAAATCAGCATTAATAGTAATAACAACAGATCATAGTAATCACTTACATACCGTGGGTCTTACTGAATCTTTGTACTGGGAAATGAAATAATAGTTAGTGATAGGATAAGTACAATAATAAAGAAAACCTACTTTATTGAGGCAAAGGGCAAAGCACTGGCCTGCAAGGGTTGATGCCTCCAAGTCCAGTGTAGTCTCATTGTTCAGCTGATAAATTAATGAATCTGATAGGTTTGCTTGCAGATCAGCTGGAGGATAGCAACCTGCTTCACACGAGTCGGATACACTAAAAGAAAGCAGCACAATGCAGCAGAAAAGTAGACAGAACACCTCTCCTGCAGACATATCTATTCCATTCAAAGTACACAAAAGACCGCACACGCCGGCACTTATATAGCTTCGTGGCATATCTCCGGATATCTAGAGCTAGTATACGGAAACATTATTATCCGCCCACGTACACATTCTCTCTGGGATATGTCACAGTGTTTGCTCATGGTTTTACTGAAGTATGCACATGATGTACAAGCAAACATCATGAAACATGTGGTTTATGAATTAGCAAAGAGTACAAACAGCTGCTGGTATTTAAATTAAAAGGAATCCACCCAGATACCAGCCATTATAGTGTTTACGAATGTTTATGTAAACAACTTCATAGCAAAAATAATTTTTCTCATATGAGTCATATGTATACATTATACTAAGTCTGAAACAGAGCATTGATAATAAAGTGACCAAAAAAATTATGCTTCTAATGGAAAATTCGGGTCTTTACAGGGCCTTTCGGAAATCTTTTCCTTGTCCCGGCTGAGAGCCTTTCTCATATCCAGGGCATCCTCGTCATCATCAGCACCAGAATAATAGTTCTCAATACGACGGAATATCTTGTACCCAAGATTCTGATACATCAAAATGGCTACCTTGTTTGACACCCGCACAAACAAGTCAACGAAATAGCAATGCTTGCGTTCTGATATCGACTCTAAGGAATTCATCAATGTGGCAGCTAGTCCGATCCTCCTATACTCTTCGGCTACTGATATAGCAGTCACGTGACCATGCCAATCTCTAGGGTCGTTCTGTCTTGCTTCGGATTTGCCCATAATGTACCCCATAATTCGACCAGTGGGTGACTCTGCAACCGTAAAGTACTCAGGCCATTTTGATAAGTATGCTAGATAGAACCCCATGTTGTATGTCTCTGTGAGAGGGTCGAGATTAACGTTATTGTAGCGAAAAAGATCATCACATTGGAAAGGCCTCAGAGCAGTCATTTTAAATTAATGGGCACCGAGCAATAAATTTATTAAGAACACGCCTTGCTAGATTTCTACTACTTTATAACTATCTAGAGTTTGGGGGTGTAGCTATTCAGTGATCACGTGATCCTGGTTCCCGGCCGGCCCACGACTAATGGAGTAGAGTTGTACAACAAGTAAAAGGGAAAAAGTGAAAGAATGAGCTCTCCTGAAGACAATACTTCTTATGTTGATGCCTCGCCTAATAAAATACCTCGGTCTACATCAAATTCGATGGACAAATCTCGCTCAAGATCTTATTTAACTAAAGACATATCCATATCCATAGATGAGGGGGATGCCTTGAAGAAAATCAGTGAAGAGGTAAAGAGTTTTTGTGATAGAGAAAAGGAATTCATGTTATTTTTGTTAGGCTGAAGAGAAGCTGCAGAGGGAGAAAAAGAAGACAGCTGAAGCACGAAGTTATTATATTCAGAAAAGAGTTCAAGAGCAGGTGAGCTTACCATGTTGATTATTTTAATTATGCATATTATTTATGTTTAGGCAAATTATTCCGACGAAGAAGGAGAAAGTGGAGGAGGAGGAGATGGAGTGACGACAACATCGACTCCAATTAATAGAAGGTTGTTGGTAAGTGCTTATTAGCGTTAATTTATTAACTTATTGTACGTCATCTTTTTTTAGGATCATGATACAGGCAGTCCCTTACTGTCACGAGGGCCAGTGCGTTCCTCTAGTAGGGTAAGCAACCCTCGTGTCTTCACTCGTTTAATCATTTTATAATCATTTTCTATCTTTTTCTTTTCTATTTTCTTTCCACCCCTCTTTCTCTCTCCTCCACTACTAGCCTTCATCATCTCTTGGTTACAGTGATGATAACTTAGCTAATGGGATAGACAAACATGTAATCACAACTGCCTCTTTTCTAGTGTATTTACTGTCCATGTATAATCGATAGGAGAAGTATTTAGAGTTAGAGAGTAAATATAAGGAGGCACTAGTATCACAGGCAAAACTGTACGATGAGAAAACTGCCCTTGTTTACCAGGTGGAGACACTAAAGGATCAGCTTGAAGACAGTCAACAGACAAATTACCAGTTGAAACAAAGTGCTCAGAGACAACAATCAGTCAGTGGCGCCTCTTTCTTTCTCCTTCTCCCTTCCTTTCTTCCTCTTGTGCTTCCTGTTCTTTATCTTGTGTGTGTAGGCAGTCATTAATTACTGTACTTTTATAGCAAATACTCTTATCAAAACATACTGAGGATTCATTGCATGGTGATATAGATAAACTAAGACATCAGATACGCTACAGGGATGATTTCATGGAGGTAAGAGGATACATTGATATCAGTTATAATTTAGAGACACACACACACACACACGATTCATAATACTGTCTCATCATAAAAATGATAGTTATTATGATGTCATTAGTCATGTTAATGGTACATGTAATTCAAACCGGCAACATCATGGACTGATTCAAATATTTAACAAACAAGTCTCTTGTTAAAGTACATGTCTGTCTGCTTTAGATGCATATTTATGTTGTACATGTATATATATGCCCTTGAGCCAATTGTGAAGATTATGAGCAAAATTCTCCTGTATATTGACGTAAAACTTGGCAGTTGCTATGTGACTGGTGTATTCTTCATTTTCGTTAGACTCATGGATTACATTTACCAACAATAGAAGAGGAGGATGAAACTGAAACAGAAAAAATGACCATACAATGTAAGACTATTATTATATCATCATCATTATTATTGTTATTATTATTGATGTTTTTTTTGTTTTAGTTTTTCCAATGGAAGAGAGAGACCAGTTATTAAAACAGATTTCGGATCTCAAAGCCGAAATAGAAGACGTCAAAACAAACATGGTAGTGACTCCTCCCTCCGACTCTCTTCTCAGAGGAGAAGAAACCAAAGACATAGTCCGTAAGTTATCTTAATAGGCAGAGCTTTGTTATTTTGGTGATTTAACAATAGGAGAGAGCACAAGACTTGTGAGTGAGTATAAAAACAAGTTGCAGTTATCTGATGCTGAGAACACTAGACTTGAAGGAACAGTTAGTTTTTATAATAATAGTAGCATGCTCCATAGCATATTCTGCTTTAGGTTGAAAGGTTAAAGGGTCAAGTTGTTAGATATAAAACACAGCTAGAGGAAATGGTAATTGAATATTATTTATTTTTAAGTTGTTATTTTTGTGTTTGTAGGAGAAGAGAGAGGATGAATTGCTGAAAGAGAAAAGGGCTCTGTCTCGAGAGGTGATTTATTATTGAATGGCATGTTAACTTGACATCAATCTCTCATTCCTAGGCAAGAAGATTGCAATCAACAGTGGATGATCTAGAATCAGATAATGAACTATTAAAGAGAAGAGTTGAGCAGATGAGAAAGAAGCAAAAAGACTAGCCCATACTCATTCCTTTTTCGTTTCCTTCTCATTCCTCCTTCCATTTCTCTTTCTCTTTTAGCTTGCATTCACTCAACCAGGTGCAACTTGCACTGTATGTTCATTAGCTCTGATGACATGATTTTGATTTGCCATTGTCTCTTAATTTTATTTTACTATGTGGGCTGGCTATTATTTTTAGATCTATTATTATATCTGGGTGTGGTCATTTACATTTCTAATTTGTAAACTAATGGAGCAACAAGGGTTAGGAATTTTGCTTGGTCTTGGCTCACTGGCACTCGGCTACGTATTCTCAAAGATAGGGGAATATGGAGGGAAGGAAGTGGATCGTTTAAAGAACGTGCCTCGCTATTACGACTATTCTAAGCTAAGGAATGACCTCTCTGCCTCTTCTAATGGGGTTTTGTCACAAGTCATGGTACAGGGTACCGCCAGACGGCCTCCTGGCTCCCCCTCTCTCTATTCAGAAGACGCGGGGATCGAAGGAGCAGCTAGACTAGTTATAACAACCAACACCAGCAAAGTATATAACCAGACGAATGACAAATGGGAGGAGAAGAACAGGAGCCTTGATAACGTGTGTCTCTCGGTTCCATTCACATTAACCGACCCAAAGGGTAATGGGGTGACTGTCGAGAACATTCACATGTCACGCGGTTTCCGCTCTATACTGCAAATGGTCTATCAGTTTAAAAGAGAGCCGGAGCAAAGATCAATAGGAGACTATGCTGTTAACATGACATTGAGCGAAATTCCAACAGGATCGAGAACAAAGGAATACATGCTCCTCTATGGCAGTATGCTCGCTGGTATTGGTGATGCCATGCAGCAAGGAGGGAGTGATATCGTCTTTTATCCTAGCGAAGTCGGCAAATCCATACAGTCCTTGATTTACGAGAAAGAAATGATTGTCAGTTTCAGCAAGTTTATGACGACAGTTCTTGTACTTGGAGGGTGCTCTATGATATTTATAGCTTTTATGCTGCCTTGGATTAGAGAGAAACTGAGGAGAGAGAGTGAAAGGGACTTGCAAAGTTACTAAAAAATTAATAATTATTATTTCGAACCTGCCTTGTAGATATAGTGGGCTGGGTTTTGTTTGGAGGTGGGGCTGGAAGCAGGAGATGACTTGCAAAATTTTAATGGCAGGCTTTTTAAAGAGATTTATCTCTTTCTTTATTAGGCGCAGAGAATCAGAGGGAACTGATGAGGTCTATCATCAATAGCTTGATTAATTTACCAGTCGTCTATTTTACCTAGAAAATGTATGAAAATACAACCATAGAATACAGTGTCCATGGCTTGGTTACTGTAGTACATGTCATTCCAAACGAGACTGGAACAATATGCAAAGACCTCGAAGACAGCATCGTCATACCTGAAGGAGGTATAACGCATCTTGTAGCTGTAGGTAAATGACTCACATTAATTTTAATTGAGTAATTTTTGAATTGTCACAGAATGCCCACAATTGTATAGACTTGTATTACCAGATGTTGAAGCTAATGATTTGACTCATCTCATTGTTGTGCACTGTGGGCTAAAAGAGCTTCCGACTACCATATCAGTTCTGTGCAACTTAATAGTATTAGATGTCACTGGAAATAAAATTGTTAGTGAAAATAATGTCATGATTGCATAATGTGATAATGACTATCTCTCAATGCATTTTTACTCTTTAGAAAGAGCTACCAGACTCTATTGGTAGCTTAAAGCAGCTTAAAGAGCTATACATTATGTAGGGGCTAAAACTTGTCATTATGATTAATTATTAGTATTGCACACTAGGTCAAATTGCATTGAGACTCTTTCAAAGCACATCCTCGATTTAACAGAACTAGAGAGATTAGAAGCTGGTAATAATCCTAAGCTTAGCTGGCCTCCTCCGTCAATCTGTAAAAAAGGATTAGAAACAATTAGAGAATATATGGTAGAAAGCTTAGAGTCACAGCATTCTGATAGAAAGAACGTGCTCAGTGGTAGTAAAGTCAGTACTGATAACTGCCGGGAGTATTTTGAAATTGAATCTATAGGCATACTGTAATTCATTGTTCTATGAACATGGGAAAGTACCATCACTGCATCATATTGTGTTAGAGTGAGTTATTTATATTATTATTCATTATTATTATTGTCATTTATTATTATTATTACTGTTGTTTTTATATAGATTTCTAATGAGACAGACAGAAGTGAATGGGCTGCTGAAGGAAGACACGGTATTGCCACACGTAATGAAGAAACAAATACACTTTGCTAATGAATTTGGCAAGCCAGTAGTACAGCTATTAAAGTGTTCAAAGTGTAGAATGTACTGCACATCTGAGGAAACTTTTGATGCTCACGTTTGTAGAGGCATCGATGATAATATTAGATACATTAAAAAATAACAATTATTCCTAAAATTTTCTCAATTTTTAATTTCAACGTAATAAATTTTAAGAAATGATTTTAGACTAAAAATATTACCTGGCCATGCCCGAGACCATATACTAAAGTACACGATCCCAGGCCAGGTTTTTGAGGATCTTTAAAAATTGACATTTGATCAAAATCAGCTTTGGAACATGTATATGTATCACAAAAATTATAAAAATTAAAAATTTTTTCATTTTCAATTTTGGCAAAATTTGGACCCATGTACCATACTATAATACAGGGACTTTGTCTCAATTTTTGAAGAGCTTTAAAAATTTGTAAAAAATCTAAATGTGATCGGAATGAGCTCAAACTTTCTACACAGCATAAAAACATGTATATGTATCAGACAAAATTATAAAAATATATAATTCTTTTTATCCATTTTTGACAAAATTTGCCCAAAAACCATGTACTGTAGCCCATGACCTCAGGCCAAATTTTTGAGCAACTTAAAAATTCCTTAAAAATTATTTTTGACTGAAATCAGCTCAAACTGAATAGAACACGTAAATGTATCAGAAAAAAAATATAATGGAGATTAGAGAACTCGTCAATCTCAAGACCCCACCCATTTGCATTTGAGAATTTTTGGACCACGCCTACTTTTATTTTTATGCTTGCGGTCGATTGATTGATCAATTCACTATGGGCCACATCTCGAGTCACAAAGAGATGCTCCTTGTTTTTGCTGTCGTCTTGCTGTCTCTCTCTTGTGGTAAGCGTCATTTGATTACCCACCCAACATCAGTTTGTGTGTTATGTATTTGTACCCTTGTTTATTATAGTACACGGGCAGGATTGTGAAACACAAGTCTCCTGTGACACTTGCATTAAATTCTCACCAGATTGCGTCTGGTGTAGTGACGAGGTTAAGTAGATGCCACTATAGCTTTCATTGTGCTTATACTGTTCATGTATAGGTGGTTAATGTTTCTGTTAGATGTTATAACAAGAGGAGCCCCTTCCTTTACCAATGTAACAACACTGAAGATCCGCAATCAGAGAAAACAGGAGAAGAGGTGTGATAGATCTACATGTATATATATATATATAATATTAGTCACTAATACACACGTACATTCATAACTAAAGTTGTGTGTATTTTTACTCTACAGACCAGCACTCTTAGCGGCCAAAATTTGGTCACCCCTGATGTTGTTAATATTGCTCTAAGGCCAGGTGTGTTTGTTTTTGTGTTTGCATAAAGCAATTACTGTTGTTGGTTTTTATGATGAAAGGTGTACCTGTTAGCTTTAATGTGACAGTTCAGACTGCACTTAACTTCCCACTGGATCTGTATCTACTAATTGATATATCGAGATCACTGAGTTCTGATATTGAAACGCTCAAGAGACTTAGCTTGAATCTTAGTAAGAAAACATTCTTGTTAATATTAATATTGTTTCAATATTTCTTGTTCCTAGCTGAATCCCTGAGCAACATTTCCACCAATTACAAGATTGGCTTTGGCACTTTTGTTGACAAGCCGATTTATCCTTACTCGTCATTTGTTCCTCCTTCTAGTGGTACTCTTGCACCTCCTTATAGCTATCATCATATTCTTAACCTTACCAACAACGAAACTGAATTTGCTGTAAGTGGCCATCAAGTGTGCCTCTGGTGACATATATTATCAACTATGTGTTACTTCATCTAACACTGGCCTCTTCCTTCTTCCTCCTTCTTCTTCCTCCTTCTTCTCTTCTTTTTTATTTCTTTCTCCACAACAGCAATTGTTAGATGATAATACTGAACTCAGCTATGGTGCTGATCAAGCTGAAGCTACTTTTGACTCGTTGCTGCAGGCTGTCGTCTGCCAAGATGTAAGATCCATTTGTTGTTATTATTATTATTAATTTATTGTGTTACTTAGATTATTGGTTGGACAGATAGAGCTACAAAAGTTATTGTATTATTAACTGATGCTGTTTCACACACTGCAGGAGATGGAAGGGTGAGTACAAATTTTGTCTATTTATTTATTCATTTATTTATTTATTTGATGTTTTATGACTAACAGCTAGCAGGAATCATACAACCTAATGATGGACAGTGTCACTTATCAGCAACTCAAGATGGTTTCTTTGAATATGACAAATGGGACGTTGCTGTGAGTTTAATTAGTATTAATAATAATAATAATAATAATAATAATAATAATAATGATAATGATAATAATAATAATGATAATAATAATAATTATAGGATTATGCTTCTTTGGGGCAATTAGAGGAGAAACTAAGAGAACAAGATATTAGTGTCATTTTTGCTGTCAGGAGTGACGTTTTACTATATTTTAATGTAACAGAAACAATTCTAGCAACATTGTGATTATAGGTACTAATGATAGGAATCATCCGAAATTTCAAACAGAATGTTTGTAAATGAATTAGAGGGTAACTCGGAGAACATCATCAGTATCATTAGACGGCAATATGAAGTAACTTATACTTATTATTATATTTAAATTATTGATGGTTGGCGTTATTTAGGAATTGCTTCGTACTATATTGTTAGAGTCTGATGCTGATAATAGATTAAAAGTGGAAATTGAGCCGATATTTGGATGCGACACGTAAATAATAATAATAATAATGATAATAATAATAATAATAATGATAATAATAATAATAATAATAATAATAATAATAATAATAATAATAATATTAACCTGACCTGACATTAATTTATTTTATTTTATTTATAATTAATGATAATAATAATAATAATAATAAATGTTGTTAAACTATTGTTGTTAATAGCGTAGGAGATCAGAACGAGTGTACTGGAGTCCAACTGGAACAGACTGTCATATTCAGTGTGACTGTAACTGCAGTTGATTGTCCTGATGAAAACACAAAGTGAGACTTAGAAGACTTTTAAAAAATTGATTTGATTTTCTAAAACAGATTTCAGATCACAGTAAGAGGGTTTGATACCATCGCTATAAACATTGAGCCACTATGTAACTGCGATTGTGAGAAGAATGCTGTAAGTCACAATAATGCAATATAAAAGTACACTATAGTTGCTACTGCCATCTCTGGAGCGGTAATCGAGTTATTTTTACTGCTTATTATTAATTAGATAATGAATAGTCGAGAGTGTCGAAACGGCGAAGGGGATAAAGTTTGTGGCATCTGTGTGTGTGGGTGAGCCAATGGAATGCTTTAATTAATTTTATTTATTTATTATTTAATAATAGTAATCAGCAGTTCACTCCAAGCAGTGTTTGCCAGTAAGGGCTATAATATGTGTTACTTCATAACTGTTTATAACTACGCTATAGGGCACCAATCACTAAGACATGCTTAAATGATGGAATATGTACTTCTTGTGGAGAGTGTATATGTAAAAGAGAAATTGGAAATGTAAGTTTTAAGTTTCATTCCAGTTGGCTTGCTGACTTTCTGCCTCTTGTTATTTCATTGTTTTCTCATTAGGTCAATAATTATTTCTTTGGAGATGCATGCGAATGCAGTACATTTGACACAAGATGCAGTGACAGCTCAGGTGAGATATGTAACGGCAATGGAATCTGCTGTAATGGAGCCTGTGTTTGCACAATGGACCCTACCACCCGACAAACACTGTTCACTGGTCCGTCCTGTGACTGTACTACTGACAACAGCACCTGCTTGAACAGGGTAGGATATGATATCGCCATGATCTTGTCCTGATGTTATGATGATGTTATTTGTAGAGGAATGAGCTGTGTTCTGGTAATGGAATGTGTGAATGTGGAAATTGTATCTGTACAAGTGATTATATTGGTAATCTCTGTGAGTCTTGTATTGGAGTAAGTTTATTATTAATAAATTAATAATTATCATACTGATCTCTTCTCTTTCTTTTGTCTTCCAGGAATCGTGTCAACCTTGTAATTTGTACACCAATTGTATTAGGTGTCACGTACAAGAATTAGAAGCAACTTCAAGTGAATGTAGGAATTGTTCTCGGGTTAACATTGTAACAGAGGATGATAACAGTGAGCATAGTAAAATCATTATGATATAGATAAATAAATAATAATTATAATAGGTTTTACTAATGCAACTGAATGCCAATTTTCTGATGGTCTATGCACGTATGATTATTACATTATGCAGAATGAGACCTCCGGCAATTACCGTGTCTATCTCAACACTAATGCAGGTAAAAAATTAGATTTTATTATCATTTTCATACCTATTTTATTATAAATTTTTTGTAGTTTGTGTTGTTCCAACTTCAGCTGCATTCTCTTTCAACACCTGGTGGCTGATATTGCTAGCCATTTTGATCCCTGTCATCATCATCGTAATAGGCATAATATTACTAGTGATAATCAAGATATGCCTTATAATGAAGGTATAATTATTACTGATAGCAGTCAGCAATTGAGTGTGTTTTCTTATAATAATTATAGGATAAGAGAGAATTAAAGAAGTTTCAGTCAGAAGTAAACGATGCAGCATGGGCTGATGTAAGTTATGATACTTAGTCGTGTTTATTTTTATTTTTGTATACTTGATAGACGGCTAATCCACTGTATGTGACACCTATCACAGATTATCAAAATGTTGCATACAAGAAAAAGAAATGAGGAGCTCCAGGAAAGTCTTTTAATGTTAATAGGTCTCTTGCCTGGAACTATTTGTCTTTGTGACCTGTTTTAACAATTTACAATTTTCATTTCCTTTTTATCAAAACTTTATCAAACTTTTAGTTGATAATAATAGCATGAACTTCTAAACATTTTTTTTCTGCAATTATTGTGAGTGGGTCGATCTGGCGGGATTTTGCGCGCGAAACATTAGAGAAGAAGAGGAGGTGTGCCACACAATGGCGGAAAAGAAGTTGAGCCAATACGAGCTGAACAGGCTCCAAAAAATAAAAGAGAACCAAGAACTAGTGAGTAACATAGTCGCAAACCTAACTATAAATAATTTTATTTACTCCTTAGCTCAACCAATTATTTCCTGAAGGAACAAAGCTGCACTCTTCTCCTCGGGTAATGATGGGTGTGGTTAACAACTAACACATTAATGTTTGTATTTGCATATGTACAGGAGGCAACACCGACTGTTGGTCTTATAGTCAATAGGAAATCAAGCTCGTGTAGAAAATTGAAATATTCAGCTCGTCGATACAACACGAGACAGAGCAGGGACTATTATGAAGGCCCCATGACAAGAAGCATGAGAACAAGGTTTGGAGGAGAAGAAGGTGGAGAAAAGGCCAAAAGTGCCGAACCGTCATTCTTAGATGATGAGTATCACTATAGAGTGGCTCCAAGAAAGGTATACTACGCATTGTTTTAATTCGATGCGGTTTCTGACTTGTTTTATTTGTAGCGTCGATACGTTCAAGTGCAAGAAGAGATTGAAATTGAGTTGGATGACAGACCTGGCCTTGACGTCAAGTATCTGAAAAGAGTTGTTGATTCCAACAAGAGTAAAATATATGACCGCATCAATGTAAGACAAACGACTTGACAGCTTTCTGTAAAAAATATATTATCCTAATTTTATGGGCAATGTTGAAAATTGATCCAATGAGATACTTGTTAATGAGTCTTGAGTTATGAGTATCATTATTATCATTATTATTATTATTATTATTATTATTACTAGGGTACTACATGTCATCAGTGCAGGCAAAAAACCATAGACCAGAAGACAGTATGTCACAATAAATACTGCAATGGTGTTAGAGGACAGGTACAAGCTAATACATGTGTCTATTAAATTTTCATTTTGATTTGTGTTTAGTTTTGTGGTCCTTGCCTGAAGAACAGGTATGGAGAGGATATCAGGGAGTGTCTGGTTGACAAGGTAACACTCATTTATATATATATACGTGTATATTTATATTGCCTCTTCCCTGATGTGTTACCATTCAGTCATGGGAAAATAGTAATCAGTAAAATGCTATTGAAATGAATCTAACACCAAGGGTTGCTCCAAATTTCACCAAAAATGAAAAAGAAATAATTCTCCATTTTTATAATTTTTCCCTGATACATATATACATGTTGTTATGTGGTGTAGAAAAAGTTTGAGCTGATTCCGATCAAATTTGGATTTTTTTACAAATTTTTATAGTTGCTCAAAAATTTGATCACAAGGAAAATTTTTAAGATCCAATCAAAATAGTTATAATAATAAGATCCAAATGTTGTCTAGTTATTTGATGTAAACAGTAGTTGCAGTCATTACTATTAATGTATCTGTCTGTTATCACTATTTTTATTTGAATTAGACGTGGGTTTGTCCTCCTTGTCGAGGAAAGTGTAACTGTAGCTTCTGCCTACCGAAGAAAGGCTGCCCTCCAACTGGAATCATGATACACATAGCCAAGGAAGCCGGCTACGACAGCGTTCAAGAATATCTTGAAAAGTAACAACTTTTTAAAATATATAATAATTATTATTATACATTGGCCATTTATAGATCTGATTATAATTACTGAGTCTTTGAAGGACTACCACAGCAGCTGGGGATGACTTTCATATCTTTCGTAGTCTGACTTGTTAAAATATGATATTTCAGTTTCATTCCCTATTATTATATATAATCATAAAATCATTCAAGAGTATCAGATGGTAACTTATAATGTGTACAACGTTAGCGATTTTAAAGAACTTACTTATGTTTGATTCTAGTATGGTCTTTGATGGATCTAGTATCCATTCATTGCGTCCGAGCGTAATTGCAGTATCATTACTCTGAACACAATAACAATAACAAGTCAGCAATAACAATGATAATTACCTTGTGACCATGAGCATACGAGTTAATCTTCATGCAATCTGGTATTATATACATGTATATGTGCAAAGAATATTTTAATATTATGTTTATATTGTTCACTGACTGAATTGGTGTTTTCTGAATGGTACTGGTAATATGTGGGACGATTGAAGGTCTATTGAATTACCACCAGATAATAATAATGAACGATAAGTGGGTTATACCTTCTAACCTTTATTGATTTGATCCATAAGGTCTTGAATAGTCAAGCTTGGGTCTACATCTTTTAAAACAATGTAACGAATGTTTCTGTGCTCAAATGATCTAATCAGTCGTATAGTAACTAGACAATAATACCACATAATCTTTTAATTACGCCGTCTTGTAGTTTCTCTGAATGACTTACTGGTCAATCCTGCTGAGCTCTGGGATTCGGAAGCCATCTTCTAGGCGTGGCTCGTAACAAACGAGCCACGCCCAGTCTAATTTAAGACACGCCTTCTAAACATGGCCGCTACCATTTTGTCTTCGAAACTATTTTCATATAACGTGTTAGACATTAAAGACGACTTGGATGAGGTGCTCCAACAATACTTTATGCCATTATTTCTTATTACGATCCATTAGAGGCTTGAAAAGTGTCACAAAGAACTGAGTTCAGTTACAAGCTCCTTAAGAGAGACTGAACTGTATGAGAAACTAAATCAAAAAGTATTTTATATTTATATTTTAAGCTCATGAAATTAACATCCAGCCACACTTAGGTCTGCCAGAGTGCTCGTGATCATGAAGACACAACCTTAGCATTGCTTTTTATGATACTCACCGACTCAAATTTGGCACCTAAGGTAAAATTTACTAAATTAATGAATGGGTGGAGCTTATTTGAATAATTCATTTTTACTTAGTCATATTCTACTCTAACGATGATAACTAGAGACAGTATGACCGTTGTCATACACATAACAGAATTACTTATTCTAGAGAAATTGCCTAGATTACTAGAAACGACAAAGTCACAAGTAGGAACTAATGCTAATAACTATTAATAATTAATAAATATTAATAGTTATTGTGGTTGACAAGGGAGCTAATTCAAACTGGTGTTAGTGGAGCTGACAGACTCTGCTTTGCATTTTTAAAACAAATGCCAGGTATTTAATTAAATAATTAGTTTTTATTTATTTTTATTGTTGTTGTTCTTTATAGCTGGTAGTGCTGCCAGCTCTGATGTATGGCTAGCTGAGAATTTGCTTCATTTGTTTATGGACAACAAGTTAAGACTACATATATTGTATTAATTACATGTTTTATTTTACTCTTCCTATATCACACAGTGATTGGTTGTATAATCTATCTCCATTAGTCATGAGTGTTGTGTACACTTATCTCTCAATATTACCGTCTCATTTAAACGTAAACGAATTAACATCTTTAAAAGACCTGGAGATATCACTTATAATCTCTTTGATCAGAAACAAGGTTCGACTGTCTTTTTTAATAACAACCAAATAAAAAGGAGCAACCATTCTTACATGTAGTTTATAGATTGCATTCAGATTGGTAGAGACCTTTTGAGATTATTGCAGAATGTGACATGTATTCCTGAATTTACACAACTTTGGAATGAGATTATTAATCAACCTACAGCATTAGACCCAACATTCACAGGTGAGTGAATACATGTACATTTGCATGCAAGTACATGTCTGATTGTATACATGGTAGGTGTGGGGCAAATATTCTCCAAAAGAACTTCTAGAAGGTTCGTTGCTGGTAGAATAGTAACAGATTCTGAGATTAAAATGAATTTTTTATTGTCTAAAGTAAATCCATTATCAATCAATCAATCAGTCATTGGCTCAACCTGTTTAGGTTAAGTTTGGACAGCATAAGCGCTATCAGGAATGGTTTTCAAGGAAGTACTTGTCGTCCCCCGAGAGTCTTTCAGTTATTCCGGAGCTCATTAGGTTTGTATGCTGCGTCATACATCCACCTAATGAAGTACTGGGATCGGATATACTGCCAAGATGGGCTTTCATTGGCTGGCTGTTGTCATTAACACAAGTACACTTTCACATTCATCGTTTAACATTATACATTTTGTCTATAGTCCAATCCTGTTTTATCATCTAATTCAAAGCTATCACTGTTCTATGATTGGTTGTGTTACTCTCCTGATACTGATAATATCATGAACATTGAACCAGCTGTTCTGCTAATGTATCACTCGCTTCATTCACATACTCAAATTACTTCTTCTTTATTAGATTTTTTATGCAGAGTAAGTGGATTCCCTCCCCCCCCCCTCTCTCTCTCTTTTACTTTTTCTTTCTTGTAGTTATCAAATTCATTTAGTCCTCAATACAATGCTAGTCACGGAATACAAAATGCATTTAAAGACATTGCAAAGAAAGGAGTCATCCAGTTAAGCCTTTTCCCTTACTATTCTTAAATTATTATTATTATTATTATTATTATTATTATTATTATTATTATTACTTTAATAGATCTTTAGATGCTTTATTGTCAAGTCCTAAACTCGACAAAGATTTGATCAAATTATTAAAAGCAACATTTCCAGATCTTTATAATCATGGTAGCTCTAATGTTAAGGAGAGAAGTGAAGAGGAAGATGAAAGAAGAGAAGAAGAAACAGAGAGGGAAAGAGGAAAAGGTGATGATGAAGATCAAGATCTACAGTTAGTGATAGCAGCTGATGAAGAGACCAATGATCAAATTGATAGTATGCCTGTATCCATTCCTCTCTTTTATTTTCATTTTCTTTTAAACAGCTGAAGATGATTGCTGGTCAATTGTTTCAAGGCTTCCAGTCATACTTATAGAGAAAATGGAAGAGTTTCGTGCAAAGAGGTTAGTGTTGTAATTGATTTTGTAAGTGCATGGTATGCTTTTTTTGTAGTGATTCAGTTCCATTGCTTCAAGAGATACTGACATTATTAGGGACTACTTGTAATGAAAGTATAGGAGACATTACTGGCCCTCTCACTCACTGCATGGCTGAAGAATTGGAGCAACCTTTTACTGAGTAAAATACATAAATAAATAAATAGATAAATATTGTTGTTTTTTCTTGTTGTTTGTATAGAGGCAGTACAGTACATACTTTATGTAGCAATAATAATGTTGAATTAATTTCTCTAATGATGAAAGGCGATCACGGAAAATTAGGTTATCATCTAGTTGTACATCTCTACCATAATAATAGGTAATGCTATTGTAATGTATCATCATCATTATCATTATATTTTAGCATTAGTCAATATTCATCATACTGCTCTGATATTAATCTTCATTTATTACAAGATCTTAAAGTTTTAGCCGAAAACGATAGCGAATTGTTTTTTGAAATGCTACCAAGTCTTTATGGAGAGGTAAGCTAAATATTTACTTAATGTTATTATTATTATTATTATTATTATTATTATTAGTTTAATGAGGTATTAATTGGTTCTAGTGAGATGATTAATATCATAGTATCACACACTGATCCGTATCAAGTAAGCTCATTCTCATGTACTAACTGATGCAATGACATTCCGCCCACGCAGCTAAACAAGCTAATCTTTCAACTTTCCCTAAATAAGTTAACAATATTCGGTAAACAGAAGATAATAGATTTAATGAGCTCTACACTACAGTGGGATTCATTTGAGCAGTTTTGTGTCTGGCAGTTATTAAATGCCGAAGGTATTGAGACCCATGTCATAGTCTCATTCCTTCGCTTGATAACGAGTCCCTCCGATCACCCTGAAGCTGTTTCTGGCTCACTGTTGTACTTAAAACAAGAACCGTTAGTTTATTATCTGTACTATTATTTTTTTTTATTTTTTATTTTGTATATTGTAGTAGTATACCCAGTGCTGTAGGCAATTTATTGTCATTGCCCTTAGCAACGCATGGCGACATTGTAACAGCTGTACTCAGTCACTGGATCAACAGCAAACCCAATAAAATAGCGAAATTTACTGATTATTGTTTCAATAAAGTATTAAAGTTAAGGTACGCATGTAAGGCCAGTATAAAAACCTTTTTCCACATTCTCTGTGTTTTATAGTGATCCTTTGCCAACGATAACATTAATGTTACATCATTTGGAAAACGTTCTGCAACATGTTAGCACAGTGCAAGACATTTTTAAAGGTATCAGCTTCAAACTATAACATCATCATTTTCATCATCTCTTATCTTTTCTGGATATACACTACAACAGGCTCTGACTCCATCCTCTCTCATTCGCTTGATAAATTATTCAATAAACATCAAATATTAAAGCAAAGACATCCAAGCATTGTGTCAGCCATCAAAGAAACACTTTCATCACACAAAGTAAATCAAACTACATTATATAATATAGCCTTCTGTAGTTGTTGGCTAGCTACCTGCATGATATGTATCATCATAATATTATTATAATGGTTGTTGTTTTTTATTTTTAGAAGAATGAGAAACGAAGATCATCAACTGACAGTGAGGACATCATAAGAATAAAAAAGAGAAGAATAATAACACTGGATGAACTAAGTGATTGATTAATAATATTCTATTAATTTAAATTGTGACAGACAGTCTAAAACCCACGACACGGTCGTATATACTACATGAGTGCTCCCCTTTAATGAAGCAGAAAGTGAGAGTTGATTAATTCCAGGTTTGCTAGTTATGATGATCTTGCTGCATATGCTGAATAGCTGTGGTGACGTGTTGCTTGCATGAAATGGAAATTTCTTTTCATTCTCTGATGGTGTTGGTTCCCTCAGTAATACCTTCCCTCCTGCTAGCTCTATGAGGCTCTTTAGCTCAGTTCTTGTTGGTTGAGGTGGGACCAAATGTGTATCAATGTAGAATTCTAGTCCATTAAATAGTCCAGGGCACTACAATAAAGATCTAATTTTTGTACATTATCACTTCTCTTTACCTTTTCTATTGCATTGTTGTGACTTTTTAATGGAGCACCGGTCAGCCATGACTTTCCTTCGTAATGAAATCCTTTTATGACGTAATCTTCTTCTTTAATCCAATGACCTTCCTTTGAACTAGCTCTTAGCCCTAATGCATTGAAGTCACGTTATTGATACAATGTTTGTTTTAAGTTGTTTATTGCTTACACTCAGACTGCAGTAGCCAAGCTCCTTTAGCTACAGCAGACAAGCATTTCATTGTTCTAGTGCAGCATCCTTTTTCATTAGATTCGGTTAAAACGTGAGTAACTTTTGCATTGAATTCATTTACAACAACACACCTCCCCAATCTCTCGCTAGTCTTGCTCATTAAACTCTAAGAGTATAATAAATAATAATTAATGATGATGATTATTCAGACCTTATTATGTGGCTTTAATCCTGATCCTAGCAATATTAGTGTATCATTGGCAGTGTCAATTATTGGACTGGATAATACCAGTGGAACTACTGACAATGCATCTATCATGTCACGTTGTCTTGCTAAATCTAAAGGAGTGTATCCTTCAGAGTTCCTGCAGTTATTAATGATTATTAATAATTATTAATGGTTATTAAGAGTTACCTAAGTGATGTATTTGCACCATTTTCAACAAGAATGGTTGCAATCCTTGTGTGATTGTTCATGACGGCATCATGCAATGGAGTGTCATTATTATCTGCTGGTACGTTTAACAAACTCCCGTAAGATATCAGCAACTCTACAATATCCTCGTATCCATGATTACATGCCTCATGCTACATTAAGAGATAATTAATATTTAATATAGCAGATAATAAATATTATTTGCATTACTAATGGTGTCCAGCCAGCATTGTCTGTTACATTAGGATCAGCCCCTCCTTCAAGCAGTTCCTTCACTTTAATATAATTACCCTATCATCAATATTCATTATTATATACAATTATGCATGTATATGCATCATACATTACATGCAAAGTTAGCTAAACAGCACACTTCATGAGCTAATGAGCACTGTGCTATATAGTGCATGGCTTTTGTTTGGTACATAATCTCGGGTCAGATTTTGTAGCAACTTTTAAAATTCATAAAAAAATCCAGTTTTGATTGGAATCAGCTCAAATTAGATGAACAACATCAGAGCGCGTATATGCATCAGAAAAAAATATAAAAATGGAAAAACCTCTCCTTGTCATTTTTGGCAAAATTTAACCCGAGATCCTGTACTATAGCCCATGGTCTTGGGCCAGATATTTGAGCAACTTAAAAAATTCGCAAAAAATCTAATTTTGATTGGAATTAGCCCAAACTTTCTATACAACATAAAAACATGTATGTGCATCAGAGAAAAATATAAAAATGGAAAAATCTTTTGTTGTCATTTTTCACAAAATTTGACCTGAGACCCTGTACTACTCAGGACATCAGAAACATACTGATGTCCTTATGCTATGTAGAAAGTTTGAGCTGATTCCGACAAATATTTTTTGAGTTATGGCCATTTTTAAAAATTCGCCAATTTCTGAAAAATACCCTGTACTTATAGCCCACGGTTTTTTCCGAAAAATGGGTCTGAAATCACCCCAAATTTTTATTACATTTTCTGATACATATTGATGTCCTAATGCTATGTAGAAAGTTTGAGTTGATTCCAACAAATATGTTTTGAACTATGGCCATTTTTTAAAATGGACCAATTTCTAAAATGAAAATAAGTCAAAAATATTCCCACGCTCTTGGAAAAAAATCATTAAAAAATATAAATAATTCGAAAATATTCCCACGCTCTTCGAAAAAATCAGAAAAAATTTTAAAAATAAAAAAATCCGAAAATATTCCCACGCTCTCAGGAAAAATCAGAGAAAATTTCAAAATAAAAAAATAATAATCCGAAAATATTCCCACGCTCTCGGAAAAAAATCAGAAAAAATTCCAAAAATAAAATAAAATAATCTGAAAATATTCCCACACTCTTGAAAAAAAATTCCAAAAATTAAAAAATTCCAAAAATATTCCCAAGCTCTCGGAAAAAAATCAGAAAAAATTCCAAAAATAAAAATAAAATAATCTGAAAATATTCCTACACTGTCAAAAAAAAATCAGAAAAAATTCCAAAAATTAAAAAAATTCCAAAAATATTCCCACGCTCTTGGAAAAAACCAGAAAAATTCCAAAAATAGTAATAAAATAATTAAAAAATATTCCCACGCTCTCGGAAAAAAATCAGAAAAAAATCAAAAAATAAAATAAAAATAATCCAAAAATATTCCCAAGCTCTCGGAAAAAAATGAAAAAATTCCAAAAATAGAAATAAAATAATTCAAAAATATTCCCACACTCTCGGAAAAAAATCAGAAAAAATTCCAAAAATAAAAATAAAATAATCTGAAAATATTCCCACACTGTCAAAAAAAATTCCAAAAATTAAAAAAAATTCTAAAAATATTCCCATGCTCTTGGACAAAATCAGAAAAAATTCCAAAAATAGAAATAAAATAATTCAAAAATATTCCCAAGCTCTTGGAAAAAAATCAGAAAAAATTCCAAAAATAAAAATAAAATAATCAGAAAATATTCCCACACTCTCAAAAAAATCAGAAAAAATTCCAAAAATTAAAAAAATCTGAAAATATTCCCACTCTCAGAAAAAATCAGAAAAAAATCCAAAAAAAAAAAAAATTCGAAAATACCCTGTACTATAGCCCATGGTTTTTTCCAAAAAATGCATCCAAAAGCACACCAAATTTTTATTACATTTTTTGATACATATTGATGTCCTTATGCTATGTAGAAAGTTTGAGCTGATTCTGACAAATATTTTTCGAGTTACGGCCATTTTAAAAAATTGGCCAATTTCTGAAAAATACCCTGTACTATAGCCCATGGTTTTTTTCGAAAAATGGCTCCGAAATCACCCCCAATTTTTATTACATTTTCTGATGCATATTGATGTCCTTATGCTATGCAGAAAGTTTGAGCTGATTCAAACAAGTATTTTTCAAGTTATGGCCATTTTAAAAAATTGGCCAATTTCTGAAAAATACCCTGTATATAACTATAGCCCATGGTCTTGGGCCAGATTTTTTGAGCAACTTTAAAAATGTTTTAAATCCAGTTTTGATTGAGCTGGCAAGAAGCTGAGCACTATACCAAAATCTTGTGGGAAACCCTGCATGCGTACATGCATTATATATACATATAGTCACCTTAATAACAGCAACTTGGAGTCTTGTCTCGCCTCTTGCGTTTCTCTTGTTATCAGAAACCTTATCATCACTTCTACCTCGTTTTGACGGAGCCCACCTGTAATTCACTGGTCTTAGTGCCGTCAATATTGTAGGTGTTGATTCTATAGAAGTGGCTGTTGTGGGTGTGGTCTCTAAAATGGGCGTGGTCTCTATAGTAGGGGCCCGGGCTGGTGTAAGTAGAAGTGCATTTTTTGGAGAGGGTCCCACATTAATAATGTCTTCTAATGTTTTGAGGTGTAGTACTAGTGACTGTAGGGCAGTGAATGTCTGTATGTCTTTTTTCCAATAAGGGGAGCCACATTTTGGACATGTGCCACTGTTCTGAAGGCATTGTCTAATGTACTTTAAAAATAAAAAATTAATTATTTTAAAAATAATTTTCACCTGCAAAACTCATGTCTACAAGTAGAAAGGATAGATGGATCACTAATGACACCCTCACTAATAAATAATAATATTTTTACATTAATGTAAAGAACTGACCATACGCTACACAAAAAGATATCTTGGAATTTACTCAGTGCCTTTCTTGTTGCCACCCAGCCCTCCGCCATTTTGAATCAATGACGTCACTGCGATGACGTAATTCGATGACGTAATACAATCACGTAATCGTTAATCTAATGCGCGCCTAACGCAGGCATCACGTGATCCAGCAAACCAAAAGGGCAGAAGTGAAGAGACAAAGAAAGTGACGCTGACAGACTAATCTCTGACGTACTATCGACTCATCATTCATTGCAGTAAATGAAAAACGTTTACTTTCACCTAAAATGTGTCTCTTCATGTCTTGTTTAGTAAATGTCGAGCGACTCCAGTCCAGGAAATGTGGCCAGCGAAAAGGGTATGCCAATGGCGCCATTACAATAGTTACCTCATCCTTTGGTGTAGGTATAGCTCCATCCATATCAGTGACACTGCCACCACCTGAGAAGCAATCGGCAAATACTCAATCTGATGATGATGAAGAGCCTCCTCCAATATCTAGTGAGCAGTTACTTAGAAGAGCTAGTTTCAAGTAAAGTTTTATGAGGATCTGTGAAATAAGTTATCGCAATCACTATATTTGCTCTCGTCTGTCTTTGTAGAAAGATATTAGAGGACTTGTCGTCATCGGCTGAATCCATTAATAAACCAGGACTAGATCCTGCTGCTGGAGTAAGATACTAATTAAATTATTGTCATTGCAATTTTTATGGTCTAATCACTTCGTTTTTTCATCATTAATATTATTTATTTATTTGTTTATTTATTTATTTATTAGGTGTCTATGTTGCAGCAGGCTGCTGGCTTAGCAGCTGCTACCAATCCTGCTCTTCTTCCAATTTTACAAAACCTACAGCAGTCGGCTCTTACTATAGCCAACCAGCCATCAGCTGCCACTGCAGCAGGGGCTGGAGCTGCTGGAGGTAATAACGATTTCACTCAGCAGTTAGCAGCTGCTATGATGCTTCCGAATCACATCAATGCACAGCAACAACTAACGGCAGCTTTATTGAACTCTCAAGCTAATGCTGTGGCCCAGGCTCCACTCATTGCCAGTATGTTATTATAATTTTGTTATCATTGTGACATTGTTTTTGTAATACTTTCAGATGCTGTGTCTCTGGCTGGTCACAATAATTTTCAATTGCCTTCGAATTTGCTTTCGTCAGCTTTGCTCAATGCTTCCAGCAACCAGCTATCTAGTAAGACTCATTCTTGTAATAATAATAATTATTATTATTTGTTTTTAATAGATTTTGGCGCACAGTTACCAGCTGGCGGCGGCAGCGGTACACCAATAGGACACAAGCAATCTTTACGTACAGTATCTAGTCCTGAGGGTTTCGTAGGCTCTCCTCCACTCCCGGGAGAGGATTCCACTAAAAAGAGAGAAATAAGACTCATGAAGAACAGGTAGAGCGCCATTTATATATATATAGATCAAGCAAATTCATTTATTGCTTGTAGAGAGGCAGCGAGAGAGTGTAGACGCAAGAAGAAAGAATACATTCGCTGCCTTGAGAACAGAGTTGCTGTCCTTGAGAGTCAGAACCAAGCACTTATTGGCGAGCTCCGTGCACTCAAGGAGCTCTATCTTCCTAAAAACCAGGAATGAACCAATGAACCAACTTTCCCTTCTACACACATTTTGTCATTGTGTTTCATTAAAATTTTTATGCCATTGATTCATAAAAATTAATTTTTGTCAAGAGTCACGTGATCATTAGCGAGCCCCGCCTATTTTTAAGAGCAACAAAATGGAGGCTGACGAGGTCTCTAGCTACGAGGAAGAAGAAGGCTCTACCAGTGGAGAGGAAGCAGAAGATGGCGAGGAGGAAGAAGAAGATGATGATGAAGACGAAGAGCCGTTATTGAAGTACAGCAGATTTGCTAAAGACGTCGTCAACTCTTTAAGCCAAATGCCATCAAACACTACTGAAGGAGAGCCCAAGAACGTCATAGTTTGTATGGCCGTGCATCCTAAAGTACTGCAATACTTGAGGATCCTGTAGCTCACTGTCTGTTTTTAGTTTATAGCTCTTGGGACTTACGATGGGACTGTCAAGTTATTGGACCATACTGGGACTGTGTTAGCTGATCGTGAATATCGTTTAGTTAGTATTATAATATTTTATCGTTTATTTTACCTATTTTTTTATTTTACCTATTTTTCTTTAGCATATAGCTCAAATTAATCATATCTCAGTAGATCAAGAAGGAGACTTCATGGCTTGCTGCTCTAATGATGGAAAAGTAGAGTGTTTTCATATTATCTTATCTCCCTCTCTATCTCTCTCCAGGTGTCAATAGTTGGTCTGTTTACAGCTAAGTATAATAATAGTGTACAGTTTGAAAGAGCAGTGAAAGTAAAGACATGATGCATGTAGACTCACCTCTCTCCCTCTTCTTGTAGTCTGTTGCTATTCATCCTCATTTTGGCAAGTCAACAAATCGAATGTTTGCCATAGGAATCGACAAAGTAATGAAATAGATAAAATGATGATGATAATGATTTTATTTCTATAGGTGTTACTGGTAGAGGAGAGACGTTGGCCATTGATTGGTTATAAGAATACAGAGATACACTCCGGCTATGGCATTGTTGAAGTAATTAAATGGAGAGACAACTACATGGCTTGGGCTAATGAAAAAGTAACATTGTGCATCTCAATTCTTATTTATTATCTTTCTCTCTCTCTAGACAGTTTTTGCTTACAACGTGGCAACCAAGTCTTTAATAACTTGCATCAGATTTGATGAAGAAAGGTATTGATTGGACTCCATCTTTTAACAATAATTCTCTCTCTCTTCTCTCTTTCCAGTCCCATATCTCTCCCATGCAGTCTCTGTTGGGTTAAGAATGGTTTGCTTCTTGTTGGACGTGGACACATCGTTAAAGTACAGTCTCATGAATTAATTAATTAAATATAAATTGGTTTTATTAATGTAAAGGTTGCTGAAGTGAGAGAAGTGACAGAGAATGTAGTTTTAATGGACGGATACGCTAGTGGTGTGGAGGCACAGCCAGCCAAGAAGAAAGAGCTAATGAAAATAAGTAATTGATTATTATTATTATTATTATTATTATTATTATTTATTTATTTATTTTCATTTTCAGGTGCTCAGAATATGTTTCCTAATTTCCTTGTCTGTGGTGTTGTCCCCATCATGAATAGAGACAAGAGCTGGAACATGGTTGTCTTGGGATATGACGCCCACATTAATCAAGAAGAAGCCATAGTAATATAGGCATTATCATGTGACTGTCATGTGATTTTATATCATTAGCATAAAGGGACTGTACCACCCCCTCACTTGATTGTAAGACCACCTGCAATGTATCTACCGGACAGTGAAGAGTTTGAAACAGTTGAAGAAATAGCATGTGACACATTAATGCCACGTGGATACACTTACTGTCGCTGTACAGAGTATCATCTTGGTAAATAGGTGTGACTAATGGGTGTGGTTTAAATGCACTGTTTTGTGTAGAGTGTGTAATGACTGGCGATGAGGATCGGTTCTATGTACTGACTCCAATTGATATAATATTAGCACAGAAACTTGATGCAAACGATCACGTTGAATGGTTGATCAAGAGAAATAGATTTGAGGAAGCAATGAAATATGCCGAAAACCCTAGCAATGCCAGATTGTTGAATACAGGAAAATTGCAAGTAAGCAGTGCACATTGCATAATGATAATTAATGCATGTACATGTATCTTAGGAAGTTGGAATAGCTTATATTTATCATTTGTTGGAACATAAAAAGTTTGAAGATGCAGCAAGGTCATTAAGTTTTTTTTCTCATTTTAATGACTATAATTATTACATATTTTAGAAAGTGCAGTGGTGTTTTGGGATTAAATGTGCAGAGATGGGAAGATATCATTTGGCAGTTTATAGCAAAAGGAGTCCTTCATGTAAGTTACTATGGAATATATCAACAAGCATATGTAAATTTCTCTTTTCATAGAAAATCTTGCCTTACATTCCAAAATCAAAGCCCAAATTAAGTCCAACTATCTACGAAATGGTTTTAAATCAATTCCTGATCCATGACCCTGAGGTTAGTAATTCACTATTAATTTTTACTATAATTATTATTGCTATTATTATCATTATTGTAGGAATTATATAAAATAATACAAGACTGGCCACCAAATTTGTATGACTCTAATGTCATTATGAATGCAGTCTCTGTTAGTTGAGAAATAGGGAGAGTTTATTTGCTATATTTTGTTATTGTTAGGATCGACTTGCTAAACAACCCAATGATATTAACATATTGAAAGTGAAAGCTAAACTGTAAGAACAACAGAGTGCATTACTATTATTATTATTGTGATATTTTCGATAGTTTTGAAGATAGAGGAGATTCTGAAAGTGCTCTGGATATATACCTAAGATTGGGAGATGTAGAAGTTTTTGATTTGATTGCAAATAAAAACCTTCACAACTCTCTCCTCGATAATTTGGAGTATCTTTTGCAACTGGGAGAGGAGGTTCATTTTTGATATTTTTCCCAACAAAATTAATTTATAATTATTTTTATTATTAGCCTCTCACAAAGACTGTCGAATTATTAGTAGAGTTTCGACATGATGATGTCATACCGGTTAGTTATCAATAATATTATAGCTAATAATTATTAATGGTCATTATTACTAGCCTCAGAAAGTTGTTAGCAAGTTGGAAGGATTCAGGACAGAGAAACGATGGGAATATTTTTTGCACAGAGTAAGATGTTTAATATTAGATATTTTTGATTCTAAGCTTTTGGAGCAACTTAAAAATTTATTTAAAAAATCCAATTTGGTCTCAGGCCTAATTTTTGTTTAAAAAATGGATAGGAGAGAATCCTCCATTTTAATAATTTTTGTAATGATGTATATCTAGTTTGAGCTCATTCCAATCAAAATTGGTTTTTTATGAATTTTTTAAAGTGCTCAAAAATCTAGCCCAAGACCATGCAATGTTTATAGTACAGTCCTGTTTAGCTCACTTAGCATGCTTTGTGGGAAACCCTGCGGCAAGCAACCATCTATTATATTTTGTACTACCTTTTCATTTTATAGTATCTTGATTTATTATTTGATCGTGATCCTAAAGCTGGGAGTGAATATCACGAAAGACAGGTCCAGCTCTACGCCGACTACAATAGAAAGAAATTATTACCATTTTTGAGAGCGTGCAATGACATACCATTAAAAAAAGTATCGCTTATTTTTACATTTTTCTTTAATTTCTTATTATTTTAGGCATTAGATGTATGCACTAACAGGTCATTGTATGAAGCAATGGTTTTTCTATTAGGTAAATAATTAATGAGTTATAGTCTATTATTATTATTATTATTATTATTATTATTATTATTATTATTGTGGCTTGTATAGACAGGATGGGTAACCCTAAAGAAGCTTTGAGACTGATCGTCAGTAAATTACACGACGTGGATCAAGTAATTATTTCTAATGCTTTTTATAAGCTATTCCCCTTTATTTCAGGCAATATTATTTGTAAGAGAGAAAGATGACGAAGAATTGTGGGACACTCTCATCCAGCTGTCAAGAGACCTGCCTGGTATGCAAGTTACTACATGCATAATTATAAAATCATTATTATTTAGATTTTATAACTGGTTTACTTCAAAACGCTGGTACACATATTGATCCAACTAAATTAATTAAAGTAATTATAAATACTATTGTTAATTTATTCATTATTATTATTATTCTTATTATTATTATTAGGAAATACCTAGCCAGTTAAAAATAGCTAACCTTGGTCTATCATTGGTAAAACTGTTGAATGACTACCAGCTCCAAGTCAACCTGAGGGAAGGCTGCAAGAAGATACTAGTCAAAGACAGGTTACTCACTAAAAATAATTTTATCACATTCTCTTATCTCTCGCTAGTCATGATTTAATGGAAAAACTACACATTCTCCATAATAGAGCAACCTCCTTTGACAGTAAATAACTCTTGTGTTATTTTATTATCATTATCAATTAATAGTGGGGGCTACTTGTTTTAACTGTTCTCGTGAATTTTCTGTTGATGATGCAACGACATTAATGATGTTTTTCTGTGGACATATGTATCATCAAAATTGCGTGTCTCATAAAAATGACGTGAGCCATTTCTCTCTTTCATATTCTATTCTCTCTCTCTCTTTCTTTCTAGATGGATATTTGTCACTTGTGTTATCGCTCTTCCAATAAAAACTTGAGACAACCGTTGCATCCATAATAAATGCTGTCAATAAATAAATTATTATTATTGTGAATGAATGATTTTATAATAATTATAATAAAAGTATTAGCTATCACAATTATGATTCCACATTCATACTCCTACCACTATCAAAGTCACTATTTGTGGTACCATCATTGTCACCATCGTTACCACTAGCTTCACAATTATTGTCGTCAGTAGGTTGGGGTTCATTGTCTTGATTGTCATGTTTTTCTGAGGACTTTATTTTTCTTTGCGGAATAACTTGTAGCATTGCTTTTTGCCAGTCTTGGTATTCTTCGTATTTTAATAATATCTCAAACACTAAAGCATATAAAAAATTAACACTTTATATATTTGATTTATTATTCTGGTTACCATGGTTAATGGTTAACACGCTACGACTATTTAATGTGACGTGTTCTTTAAGTGGCAATTGTGCATGATTGATTCCAGCAGTGATAGCTTCATTATAGCAGTAACCCTTAGAATATATTTATACTAATGATGATGAATAATCATTGCAATTACTTTGTAGCGATTATGATCAACCAGTCCGCCTATGACATATACTTTATCATCAGATAATTCTACACAATTAAACCCATTTCCATATTTTCATAATTATTTTTTTGCATATAAAGTATACCTGTTAGTATATTAGGTGATTCGGCAGCTAAGAATACAATATCCTTTTGTTCAAAAACATCTAAATATTTCTTTTCGTGAAAGTGAACGTCCCATTTATCATATCCCTCTAGTGTCTCCATTGCTTCCTTTACAGTCCCACTAAGACTTGTCATGTACAGTTGCAATGGCTTGACAGAGTGTCTGTTCTCTGAATAGCACCTCTGACACTGCTTAATTAACATTCTAATATCCTATAGAAAATAATGTAACTATGGTTGTACATTCGAGCACTATATTGTATTTCTCGAATACTGTGGTGCATTTTTAACTGCATACAAAAGAGGAGCTTTACCTTTTCAGTCATTAGCTCAGAGTAGCCTAGTTCTATGGCAACTCTCACTTTGCTGGCATCACTGGATGACATTGTCTTTGTCAGTCCTATACAAAACAGTACACAATAGCTCAGTATCCACTGTCTATAATTGTTGTTAACTTTTCGTATGCTTTGGCTTCTTCTTTTGAAGTTTTGACTTCCTTTGTGGAAACAGAGCAGCCAGTGCAAACAATTGTTAATTGCAAATCATTAGATCTATTTCTCTTACTCTTTCATTTGAAGTTTTTTGTACATTATTTTAGCTTGTTTCTTTCTCTGCGTCTTTGTCAAGTCATCTGGTAGTGAAGATTTTAGTTTTTCCATAATTTCCTTTCTTTTCTCTATGCTTGCTCCATCCATTGCTTCAGCCATTGTCCGTTTTTATTCGTACTCTTTCCGTGTACGTTAAAACTAAAAACTATCCGTAGACTTTCTCCGTAGACTTGAAGCCGGTTGGGGCATTGTTTCTGTTCAGAGTTAGAGGAATGGCTCTTCCATTCCTTCTGTCTTTTCTCTTGCTGTTTATGGCAGGAGATGCAAATAACTTTCCAGATTTGGAGTATGACGTAGACACTGCTCTAGTCTGGAAATGGTGAGTTATTGTACTTATCCCGGATTGTAAGCATGTATCTCTCTCTCCTAGTCCTCTTTCTCCTGACAATAATGCAACAGTATTATATAGAGATAAAGACTATCAATACGTTGCATCATCTCAAGAGCTGTTGAATAAAAATTGTACTTTTGTATCAAATATGTTTCAGTTGCTATCTCCTTTTGATGAGCTGAAGGAGCAAAATGAAGCAGTGAAATCTAAAAATGTTAAGAGAAATGTATTTCATCATAGTTCTTGGTTTAAACAATACGTAAGTCATGATTCAGTACATTTATATTGCATTCAAGGTTTCCAGCAAAACATACTAAGTGAGCTAAAAAGCATGCTTTATTAGCCAACAAGCACTACAATACAGTACACGGCATTTTGAGCCACTTTAAAAATTAATGAAAAATCCAAATGTGATCAGAATCAGCTCAAACTTTCTATGCAACATAAGAACATGTATATGCATCAGAAAATTTTATAAAAATGGAGAATTCTCACCTTTCCATTTTTGGCAAAATTTGGCTCGTGACCCTGTACTATAGTACAGGGACTTTGGCCTGATTTTGGAGCAACTTTAAAAATTTGTAAAAAATCTAAACGTCTTTGGAATTAGCTCAAACTTTCTACACAATATAAGGACATGTATATGCATCAGTAAAAAATTTTAAATGGAGATTTCTCTTCTCGTGATTTTTTTCAAAATTTCCTGTTACTGGGTTTATGGCCCAATTTTTGAGCAATTTGACAATTCGATGACATGAGCACTATGCCAATATCCTGTGGGAAACTCTGATTCCATTAACCTTTCTGATTTTTGTAGCATAATCTCAGTGTTATGTATGATTGGTACAAATCATTAGCTCATGAGTATTCATCAAATGTTGCTGTAAAGAGCATCGGTAAAACAATAGCTGGTAGAGATATGCTGGCTGTAGTGATAGGAACTGATTCAAACCAACCTGCTGTGTACTTCCAATGTCTAGTGCATCCAAGTAATGTCCATTATTATTATTATTATTATTATTATGGTTTTCCACTAGGAGAATGGATTACTGGCCCAATGTGCATGTACTTAACACAGCTATTGGCAAGAGCTGATTCATCTAATAATATTGTAAGTTTGTAGCATTAAATTAAATAGTATTAAAAAAAATTTTTTCACTAGCTCTTCAGTTTATTACAACAATATCAATTTATTATCGTACCTGTTGCTAATCCTGATGGTTATTATGTAAGTCAATTAAATCATTCCGTTAAGTAACTATTATTAATAGTTAACATGGTCAAGTTATCCCAAGTATAGATTTTGGCGCAAAAACCTCTCAAAGAACAAAGGATCATCATGCTTGGGAGTCGACTTGAATCGGAATTTTAATATAAAATGGGGCAAAGTAATGCATAGTTTTTGTTAAGCAATGCTCATGCATGTTGTAGCATGGCAGCTCTAGCAATCCTTGCAGTGACATTTATCATGGGGATAACTCTGGATCTGAATTAGAAGTGAAAACTATTACAAGTTATCTCCGTGATCTTCCTAACCCTTTAATCGGCGCCATAGATTTTCATTCCTTCTCACAAGAAATCTTTTATCCAACAGGTGAGCCATGCAATTTTAGCAATGCTGTTATCATTAGCACCATCTATTGATACTAATGCTTATATAGGCTGGAGTACTGCCTTGCCAGACAATATTCAATACTTCAAGTATATAACTCAATGGATGGCTAGTGCTGTTAATCAAGTTAGCTAATGAAAGTTCATTACTGTCATTCTATTATTGTGGTTAGAATGGTAGACATACATTCACTGTTGGTCAAATGGGTGCTCTGTATTTAGCCTCTGGGACATTCACCGATTGGTACAGAGATACTCTCAGTTATGACTACACAGTTATTTATAATTTTTCATCAGGTTATTGACAGATGATTTTATTAACAGCAACAAGGACAAATACGGTCACAAATATAAACCAATACCAATAACAGTTGAGTTACCACCAACAAGAACTGTCCCAATAACCGGCTTTATGGTCCCTCCAGATCAGGTTGGCTGAGCGACATTACGTGATGAATATTGATGTATTTTTTTTAGATATTGTCTATATGCAAAGAAATGACTCCGGCAGTTATCAAATTTATTTCATTATTAAAAAAAACAACATTATGATTGATGAAAGAAAACAATGTGATTTATTATCATAACTATAAATCTATTATTTTTAAACACAAGTCAAAAACTAAAAAAAACATAATATTAATAATCCTTTTAGCCTGTAGCTCCTTCAATCTAGACAAAAGGATGCGCCAGAGAGAATATTTAAATGTCAGAACATGATTTTCCGGCCACCATATAGCCCGCAACTGTTCTGGGAAGATGGACTCCTTTCAGTATGAAGTCAGTGATTGTCCTCATGCACAGGCAGCAGACAGTAAAGGGAGTTAGAAGAACGTATAAGAATCCAGCTATGAATCCAATTGGCCAAGCAAGAAGGATAAGAACGATAAACCAAATAATGGAGAATAACCAGCCACAGGCCATTTTGTGAGAAAGGATCACGTGATTTTAGTGCTAATTTGTTAAAATTTGTGCAGTAAGCTGTAATAATTAAATGGAATTAGAATGTTGTTGATTGTTTTATTAAATTTATATCCTCTGGAGTGATACGACAACAACCACCTGTACAGTCAAACACAAAACATCCAACCATTGATTCTCAGTTTTGATTACCAATTATCTTTACACCTTTACTGATCCACGTCCGACACTGAGAGATAAATGATACTTTCTCTCCGCACCATCTAAAAATCATTAATAATAAAATTCATTAGTATTATAATTTTTTCACCCAGTGCTGCACCATCCTTCCCCACTGTTTGGGTACACAATGAATGGTAGGCTGCAACCAGAGACACTATCCAGCAGTCCCTGCAATGTATAAATATAAAATCATGCATTACATACTGCAACAAAAAAGATAATCTACTCCAATATATTGAGGTGGAGAGCAGTTTATTCCAACAGCTACTAGTTGCTTATAAGAACACATAGCTTTTACAACGTCAGAGAATACTTCGCCATAACAAGTGTGTCCTTCATCCTGATCAAGAGATAGAGAGGATTTTAGCAAAGCATCTCTATACTTTGCAAGTGAACGATATCCATGCTTTAGCTTGTGGATAGTCTGCTAAAATTTCCAGTAATATCTTTGCCTCAATCTAAATAAAAAGCTCAAAACTTGAAGCTAGCAACTATAAAGCTTCATTGCTCACTATTGACGGGATTGTCTCTAAAGCTAACAGATCTACACCAGATTCCAACAACTGTCTTATTCTGGGTTTATGCCAATCTTTAATGACCTGTTAATATTCAAATGAATATAGCACACAAGCAAATAAATATATTTTGCAATACCTCAAGTGATGTGTGATTAAGGTATGCACCAGTGTATTCTGAGCCATCACATAAGCAAGCTCCATAAGGACCTACTGATCCTGCTATCAATGGCTGTGCTCTGTCTTTATGCTAAAGCAACATGGATGTCAATATAAAAGTCAAATAATGAGGGTAACATTATAGATGTACTTCTGGTTGCTGTGAGAACCAGTCTCTTGCTTCTTGAGCTAAGTAAACGCTATTAGCAATAAGTTTAAGAGCATTCTCTGATGACAAGCCCAAGTGCTGATAATATCCATCAATGCTTGCTTGATAGGAAGCCGTTGTTATAATATCAGCACCATTTTGTAGAAAACTAATAAAAGACACTAGGCCAGGAACACTGGCATAATAATTATCTACCTTTTATGAACATTTAGTATGAGCTCTGGCTGAGTATGGAGAATTCTTGCAGACCAGAGAGGATCGTTCTGTTGAAATGAAAGATACTAAAAAGGCTATTTTTTAGGATAGCATTACTAATAGGCTGACTCCTCTTCTTTCTATCTCAGTTGCCAATCCACCATCTAAAATGTAGAGCCTATCTTCCATATTAACAACCGGATGTACTTACCTACTTATAAAACGTCACTCAATGCACATGCTATATTATGGCGCCATGACAAGTGCGTGGGTGTAACATACACGTGGTTCTCCTATGACTATTGTTAGTGTTATCAGGCGAGGATTTCTTTATTGCTGCAGGTCACAATCCTCATTGTTCTTTCAAATTCATTGCAAGGTCCCAAGACGGTCAGTAGTGAAACAATACAGCATTATGGCAAGCAGCAACAAAGACTCTCTCCCCGACAGCTTCTCTCGCAGACAGAGCCCTGAGTGTTTCCTGTTCACATCAGAGAGCGTAGGGGAGGGCCATCCAGGTATTGTTGAATAAACACGTGCGGTACTTTTGATACAAGGCATCCTCCATTTTCCTTCTTAGATAAGATTTGCGATCAAGTTTCAGACGCTATTCTTGATGCCTGCTTAAAAGAAGACCCGTACAGCAAAGTTGCATGTGGTATGAGGAATGATGAATAATGTTGTATGTATGTACATTGTATTAGTCTAACATTGTATCTTGTAGAAACTGCCACTAAAACTGGCATGGTCATTGTCTTTGGTGAAATAACGAGCCGAGCAATTGTGGACTACCAGTCACTTGTTAGAGAAACCATCAAGCAAATTGGATACGATGACTCAAGGAAAGGTAATTTTATAGCTTTACGGAACTTGGCATACCATAATTCTAATTTATAACCATTCATCGTGTCTCCTCTCTGTCTCTCTTCCTTTTCTCTCGGAAGGTTTTGATTACAAGACTTGTAACGTTTTAACGGCTATAGAGAAGCAGAGTCCTAACATTGCCCAGGGAGTACACGAGGGAAGGAAAGATGAAGACATTGGAGCAGGAGATCAGGTAAAAGAATTGAAATCCATGACCTCATGAAAATCTTCAAAAGGTCATTAATTTATTGAGCATGTGACTGGTCTGACCAGTATCACCTGTCAAACCTGTTTGTGTAAACCAGCTACTATGCTAAAGAGGTCACTCCAGTTGTCAATACTGGTTTTACTAGTTGATAAGATTTTCTCACACCTGCCCCGCATAATGGGAACAACAAAATGATGTTTTACTCTGTGTTTGTGTGTATGAATGTATGTGTAAGAAAGGACCAATAATGCTTTATACTTTATCAGTCTATTATTGATAGGGTTTGATGTATGGTTATGCAACCGATGAGACTCCTGAGTGTATGCCACTAACAATAATGTTAGCTCATCAAATGAACAGGTATTCCATGTGTTGTGTAATAAATATCTGTGTTACCTTTATATAACATTATTTGAAATGTAGAAGCATGAAAATTACGAGTACTTAAAAATATTTTTAAAATGATACTGGCTCCAAAGGCCTTTCTACACTTGAACCTGTTCCAGAAGTCGGCTATCTTCAAGATCATGTATATTTTGATAGCATTTTTGATCCAGCTGCCATTGGTTATCTATTGAATGCGCATTTAAGCCACATATGGAGGTGGTTTGGCTTAATGCCAAATTGCCAATGCACATCAGGTGTGGAATGACTGGAACCGGTTCCAAACCTTGAACCAGTTCAATGCGCATTAGAAGTGCTAGTGTAGAAAGGCCTCAAGAAACATTTTTTTGCATTTCTAATGCTGATTTCAATTAATTTTTTTATGAGTTATGAATATGACCTTGTATGTTAAATTCACAAGGCATGTATTTATAATTGCATGACATGGTTCATTTGTTTATTGTACTATTGCTTTCCTCTGCATCAGTAATGGCCTGCTATGTTTCTGTTGCAGCTAATTTTATGTATTCATTCTAGGAAAATGGCAGAAAGCCGCAGAGATGGCTCACTACCTTGGATAAGACCTGACTCAAAGACACAAGTAAGTCCACTAATATTTAATTACTCTAACTTTTAATGACCACATCATACATGTGTCACTCAACTTGGCAGACCTCTTACTATTGTGTATTTGATATTGAATTGTCTTTATTATATTGCATGTATAACCTTTGTGAAATTGATACAACAAACACTGCTGTATAGTAGTACTCGTACACTACATTATGGTGATTATTTTTTGTCACAGAGAGTAGCCTTAATTGTGTTACGCTACTACGGGCAATGATAGCACTCTATAGTGGTAGTTTTGATTTATTCTTTTTTTAGGTCACAGTTGAGTACAAGAACGTCGATGGCGCTTGCATTCCACAGCGTGTGCATACTATTGTGATCAGTGTTCAACATTCGGAAGACATTACACTTGAAGATCAGAAAACTCAACTAAGAGAACACATCATCAATGTAAGTGAGAGAGAGAGAGAGAGAGAGAGTGAGAGAGAGAGAGAGAGAGAGAAAGAAAGGGATAGAGCAAATTGTGCAAATAAAAGCCTGTGCAAAGTGAAGTTATCTTAATTTACTTTTGTACGTCTTCAATTTTGTCACTGTTAATGCTGTACAGCTGTGACTTTAACACCATAGCAATGTGTAATGTTGCTAATGTTAATTTGTGAGTTGTACTATATCTGGTGTATATATATATATGTGTGTGTGTGTGTGTGTGTGTGTGCTTCCATGTAGACACCTGTCTCTGTGAAGATGTGGTATGCTTGTGTTTTTCTTGTTACATTAATTCAATTATGTGATGTTTTACCATGAAGTGTAGCATTGGTTGTTTACTTAGCTTTTCTTTTGAAGTGTAGTGTCAAAGCTTATAGAGTGACAGTCACATATAGAGGGAGGTATTTAATTACTTGATAGAGAGAGAGGGGTTGTGGGAAGAAGGAGGCGTAGGGTAATTTTAGAATATAGCTTGTCACTATCTCAGTAACATGGAATTTTAGGCTTGCCCTAAGTGAAAAGGCTAGCGCTTTGATGTTTGAGCTCATTATGTATGATATTCGCATTGTGCCGGTTTCCTTTGATGATCAACCAATGTTGTCTTAATTTTAAATGAAAACATGAAATAATGGGTGCTCTATCAATATGACCTCATTTCCAGTATGAATATTATTAGTCAATTCACTAGAAAGAGGGGAATTAGATCATAGTAATATTAGGGTGACTATATGACTATTATATGTCTTCTTTATATGGCTCTGATTGCCTACAGAAGGGGATAATGTACGGATCATATATAAGTACGTGTATTACGTATGCATAAACATGTATTGAGAAAACTAAAAACAATATCATTATAATTCAATTGATTTATTGTTGTCCCTATCTCTCCCCTCACTGGGCATGTCCTCTGACTTCTGAAGAGGAATAAATTATGCGAGGGCAAAGCAATAGTCAGTTTAATCACAGTATATTAGAACACCTACTAATTGTACTGTTTCATCACTGAGCTACATCATACTGATGGCCTTCTAATTCTAATTTTCTAAATTAAATTTATATTGTCCTCTTTCTTTTATACAGAAAGTGATCCCAGCCAAGTATCTTGATGAAAATACAGTATACCACATCCAGCCATCTGGCCAGTTTATTATTGGTGGACCACAGGTATGACTTTCAATGGATCTGCAATATATACTATGTCATCAATACAATAGGGAGATGCTGGTCTGACTGGTCGTAAGATTATTGTTGATACATACGGTGGCTGGGGAGCTCATGGAGGTACCCATGTGAATATGTGTACACTCTAAAGCACTGTGTTATGATTAGGTGGTGCATTTTCTGGTAAGGATCCTTCTAAAGTTGATCGCTCGGCTGCTTATGCTGCCAGGTGGATAGCGAAATCACTTGTTGCCGCTGGCCTAGCAAAACGTGTCCTGATTCAAGTAAGAGAGCGAAAGAGTAAATTTATCATATGTAAACAAGACAGAGTGTTTCGTAAGCCAATTTGTTTATAGTAGCTTTCGTATACAAACTACCAAGTTTACTATATTCTCTTTCTATGTTATTCTTATTAGATTTCTTATGCCATTGGAGTTGCTGAGCCATTATCAATATACATGGATACATATGGAACTGCAACGAAAAGCAACAACGAATTGCTGGATATAGTGAATAAGAATTTTGATCTTCGCCCAGGAATGATAATAAAGTTTGTTAAAAGAAGAGCTATTATTACTGACTCTAACTCTCATTCCTTTTATAGGGAATTGGACCTTCGAAAACCAATATACCAGAAGACTGCTGCTTATGGGCATTTTGGACGTGAAGAGTTCTCATGGGAGAAACCCAAGAAGCTTCAATTTTAAACGTGCTATCTATGATGACTATTAGACACAAAACTATTAGCTTATAATTATTTATTGATTTATTATTGGGTGTATTGCTGTGGTAATGGTGTAGCAGTTGTTATATTTAATCAAATTGTTATCATAATTGGTGACTACAAGGTAGAGATCAAAAGATTGCTGAGGTTACACAATACACACAATTAACATTATCATATATAATATGTACAGTGCACACACACACACAGTCATAATTGTTATAGTTAAGACAGGAAGATTGTGTTATTATTGTAATCCCACACGTGATGAGAGTGTGAAAATGTAAAAGAATGATCGGACAAAAACTTAGCACGAGCATATCCACTTGACTGCCATTGATGTCAAAGTCTCCTTTCCCCCTAATGTAATGCCTTCAAGGCTCGTTAATACTCCTTCCGTCGTCGGTCGACTGTGAGGATTGTGTGATAGCATTTCATTGAATAGTGAACTCTCTTGAGGTCGTGCTTGAGTCACTGGTGGTTCCAATAGATGGACCGGCTTTGTGGTTCGAGGCGGTAATCTCGAGTGTAAGAGTTTTCCTAAGACATCGGTTGTGTTTGACCATCTTGCTTTATGATATCCACAGTCTGGGGACTCTGCTATTGCAAGGAATATTAAACCAAGAGAGAATATTTCGCTGGATTTATTATAGACGCCGCCAAATGTCTCTGGAGCTATGAAAGGTATTGCTTCTTCTACGTACTCTTCTAGAAACACGCTGTGATTGAAGTTGAATTTCTTACGATTTGATTCCTTTGCCGTTTGCATGAAACCTATGTTTGCAAGTCTGAGCTGATCGTCTTGTATGAATATGTTCTCAGGTCTGAGGTCCCAGTGCAGTATCCCATTGGAGTGTAAGTAGTGAAGACCCATGGCTAAGTCATTATACCATCTTAGCCTAGTCTCTTCATTCACTCTGTACTTGTTCAAGTATTTTGATAGGGTTCCACTCAGAGAGAGCTCCATAACTACAGCGACTGCAGTAGGAGGAGGGAGAGATTTGCTTGGAAACTGTGTCATTGACATTGTGGTCAGCGGAGGGTCGTGGCAGTCGTAGCAATCTATCAAGTGGACAAGGTTCTTGTGGCGCAGTCCCGACAGCTTTTTCAGGTGTACTTCTCTTACTGTGTTTGCCCATGGCAGGTGGAAGAGGAGTATGGCTAGCCTTGGGCCAAATTTCCCTCTCCTTGCCAGCAGAGTCGTTCCGTACGTCCCCTCGTGGAGCACCTTCTCGTAAGAATAATGACCATCCTTCGCGGCCCAGCGATTGAGTAAGTGAGGTGCATACGAGGAGATACTGCCATTTGAGCCATTTGAGCAAGTTTCTTGCTTTGCCATGTCTTTGAAGGCGATTTACAAGCTGTTCCAGCTTTTGTTCTTAACTCCCCCGAGTTTATTGTATCATAATTACCCCTAATTAACAATGGGAGGGGCTAATCAAACCAAATTAACTTTTATAACTAGATAACTTTATAACTAGTCTAGATAATTTGGCATTAAAGAAATGCTCTTTAATCTATACCAGGAAAATAGCTAAAGTTTATCCTGAAAGTGCAAGGATTAGGAAATTGTTGTCTGTATTTTTCTTGTAATTTTACTATGTAATAGCCTGCATACATTCATTAATTAGACTTTAGGGAATTTTAGAAAGGAAGGAGAATTCAGCAAAAAAAGCAGGCACGGAGACACTGTTTTGCACCACTGGCATTTAGGAAAAATCCCACTTTCATTCAGCATTTATTCTTTTGAAAACTGATGCCTCTGTAAACAACCTGTGCAGCAACTGCAAGTTGTCTCACTACCAGTCTCAACACATTAATTATTTAATGCAATAAGCTTTCTGCAAGCATCATACATGTATAGACTTGAGTCACTTCCTGCCTGTAGCATGGCATGTTTGTTTATCCTGATATTACTTCTAATAAGCAGTGCCCATGAAGCCATACCTCTATTTCACTATCCTTTATAAAAGCATTCTCCTTCTCATACTTTTATAACTGCTAAGCTAAGACTACAGTGAAGGAGATTAGACCTGTTTCTATAACTGAAGCTCTCAAGAGATTAACAGTATCCAGCAGTTATACTCTCCTTCTACATTGGGTTTCTTCTACACAGAGATCAATAATGGGCTCCAATATTAGCTACAACAATACGTAAGCCAAGTATATTATATACTAACTAGTTATGGCTTTTAGGTAGAAACTAGCATTATTATAAGCATGATACATAATTGTAGACACCCCATTCCTACTGTATGCTGCATTGAGCAACTGCATATATTACAATAACATAACCCTCTATTTGTACAAGATTGTTAGAATAGTCAAAATAGCATGGCATATGTTACTTTATTATGGCTATAGGTGTACCCAGTCTTATACCTTGTTTGTTGTTTACTGTGCTATATGTATGCTACTGGTACCCTAATATAGAGTATTTCCCACTCTTTGTGTACATTTTTATCAAATTATGTCAAGAACTAATTTGCAAGTCTTGAGTTAGGTTGTACAAAAACATGTATACATGTAAATGCCATGAAAACTGCTAATAACTTGCCTTTATTGACAGAGAGATTAATGGGGTAGTACATGTTTTAATTGGCTCTGTTGTTATCAGCACTAGTTTTGGGGAAAGAAATTGTCATGCTCCTGGCAGAGATAAGACAGTTATCACTAATTGTTTGTTTCTTTTGCAGGATTGTTGGAGGGAAAGAATCACAGAAGCCAAAAAATGAAAGTAAATCCCTGCCAGATATCATCTTTACATTTCACACGCCTCTTGCGTAGCACACTCATATGCAAGCATGGGATGTATCCATCCCTCTCTGGGGCTTTGGTAGATAATGTGGGAAGGGATGAGACTTATGATCTTATAATGTTTGTGTCACTACACCCAAAATATTGACATATGCCTCGCCGTTGTGATTAATAGTGTTCATTCATGCACAATACCTCCCAATTAGTACACACGAGACCAATTATGTTGACAATAGTTAAGAGGCATAGCTAATGATGAGTGCTGATCTCATTATTGTATTATTTTATTTATTTATATAGAGAAGCGTAGAAGACGGGATTCCATCAACAGACCTGTACTGAAGCTTCAGATACGGAGCAACAGTATGGAGAGACAGCACAAAATGAATGGAGAGACATCTCTTGATCATCCCTTTCTGAAGAGGCTGAGCACAAACAAATTTGGTAAGTGAGTATAGTTGGGTTACCAAATTATTATTAGTTTTATGGTAACAAAAAGGTTATTTATGGTAAAACAAACATGTACGATTGCTAATTCAAATTAATATGGAATGTGAATTACAAGATTAAATATTGTTAGCAACACACAATGCCGTGCGTAGGCACCAAGAAAGGGTATCCTCCAATTCTTATTGTTTACTGTGTGTAGACTGGGACTGTTTTCATTGTGTTATTGTAGATAGTCATATCATGTGTAGAATGAACCACAAAACCTTAACATAGTTTCAAAAACAACACAAGAAATATAAATATGCGCATAATTTAACTTCATTATAGCCGTATGCATAATAACGATTAGCAAACAAGCACTATTCTGAGATCTATAAAAATGATAATGAATGGAATCCTTATTTTACTCTTTTACTATTTCCTTACAGAATCTCTAAAAGAGGAAAAGAGCGAGCGGGATTCTATACAATCCATATCTTCTCTTTCCTCTTTTGCCGTCAACAATGTGACGCTGACTAGAACTGCTACCCATTCTTCTCTCGGCATTAGAACAAGCACGCTATTGACAAGTACCTCTAAGCCTCTACCTCGCTCTGTCTCCACTGGCTACGAGAATTCACCACCACCTTCAGTAATAACGGTTCAATTTGTAAACAATGGAGCAGACAGCAATGGGTCTTTATCTGATATTGATGGCACTGCTGCCAGTACTGCAAGTGCAAGCAAAGAGAGTGAAGGAGATAAACTCAAGTGAGTCTATTGTGAATGGATGCATTGCTTTCATACCGTGCAAGCCTGAATAACATGTTTAGTTTATTTATCAATATTGCCATGCACACAGTATCATTTAATGTCAGTAATTGCTTTATATCTAACAACATTATACATTGATAAGTATTTAGACATGGTGTAGGCTGATCCAGACCACACTGATCCCATTTGTGGTTTCTGTTATGATCCTGTGCTTCCTATAAGGGCAGACTATACCCATATACTAAGTGTATATACTCGTGTTGCTTGTGATGACCTCAACTGACACATAACATGTTTTTTTCCATTAGTGCCAACGTGTCACTCACTGAGAGAGAAGGAGTCCCAGCCCCTACCAACAGACAGAGTTTGATGAGAGCTAGCTATATAACTGAGCCAGTGATTATTAGAAATCATCACAGGACACAATCAATGGAAGACCTTTCTCTGAAAAACTCTAAACTTCGTCACAAAGCCTCAATTAGAGTCAGCAGATACATAACGTAAGAATTGGATCTGTTTGCAATATTGAGTGAAAAGAAAAAATAGCATTGGATTCAAATATGATTACTTCCTTGTAGGCATTCAACCAGTCTACACGATGATCTTGATGATTTTGATAACATTCAAGTACTTGTTCATAACGATGACTGGTCGTTTGGGGAGAATATAATCAGATCACTAGAAGCCGAAGGGATAGTATTGTTTAATATAGAGGAGCCAATGACCACAAGGTCAGTCTATGTGCAGTTAGTTCCCATACATGGGAGTTTAATATGGAACTGTGTGTGTAGTAGTGACTCATGTGACATTAGCATATGCATTGTTTAATGATTGTCATTCATGATTATCTTCATTCATTTATAACAAACATTACTATTGGTGCTTTATCTTTATAGTGAAAAGGAAGTTGAAGAAGCATGGCCTGAACTAAAAGACAAAATGAAAAAGTGGCGTTCAGAACAAAGGTAAGACTGTGCATTTGAAGTAGTAGCATCAACCCATCTTTCTTTCATTGCAATTTATGATTTTTCTCTTTTTTCAGTCTTTTAGATTTGTGATGCGAAACTGATTATATGAAATATATTATTAACGTGTCTGTTTTTTGATGTAATTTATTTATAAATTTATTGTTTCATATTAATAATCTTTATATTAAAAACATAAAGCAATGATAGTTTTAATAATAATAAGAGCAATAGGGCGGGACTCATTAACCTACACCCACGCAAAAAAGTACTGTGGGTGGGGCTCATTAAATTTATTAACAAAATGAAAAACAAGATGGTCTCGAACCTAGTGGTCTTTATATTGCTACTAAGCTCTGTAATAGAGTCCAGTAGCAGTGGTACTAGTAATGAATGGGAGCTTTGGAAAGCTACTTACGGGAAATCCTACCTAACATTAGAGGAAGAGAAATACAGGAGGGACACGTGGGAGGAAAACTCATTGCTAATAAAGACACACAACACTGATAGTGACAAGCATGGGTATACTCTAGAAATGAACTCATTCGGTGATCTTGTAAGTTATTATGAAATATCATTTTTAATGTTTGCAGTATAGACTTCTGCTGAGTTCTCCAGCCTCTATAATGGCTATCGACAAAATCTTGAGACTTCAGGATCGGTTTTCAGCTCATCTTTAAGAAATGCTATGCCATCATCCCTTGACTGGAGAGATAAGAAAGTAGTCACAGATGTGAAAAACCAGGTATTTATAATGTTAGTAAATTTATTGCAAAAAACGAATTTTAAAAATTTCTAAAAAATCTGGCTCAAGACCATGGGCTATTTAGTACAGGGTCTCGAGTAGTCTCACAGGCCAGACCCAACCCTAGGTCTCAGGCCAAATTTCATTAAAAATGACAAGAAGAGATATTTCTATTATTATGATTTTTCTGATGCATATACATGCACTTATGTTACATGGTTAGTATAAGCTGTTTCTGATCAAAATTGAATTTTTAAGAATTTTTCAAAGTTGCTCCAAAATTGGGCCTAAGTCCCTGTACTATAGTACAGAGGCTTTGGCCAAATTTTACCAAAAATTAAAAGGAGAAAATTCTCCACTATTATAATTTCTCCTGATGCATATACATGTTCCTATATTGTGTAGAAAGTTTGAGCTGATTTTGATCACATTTAAATTTCTTACAAATTTTTAAAGTTGCTCCAAAATCGGGTTAAAGTCCCTGTACTATAGTACAGGGACTTTGACCAAATTTTACCAAAAATGAAAAGGAGAGAATTCTTCACTATTATAATTTCTCCTGATGCATATACATCTTCCTATATTGTGTAGAAAGTTTGAGCTGATTTTGATCACATTTAAATTTTTTATGAATTTTTAAAGTTGCTCCAAAGGCATCCTTTGTTTTAAGCTTTATTAAATGTGCTATTTAGCTCATTAGGGTGACGCACGATTAGTTGATCCTATTTCTTACAGGGTAAGTGTGGGTCATGCTGGGCTTTCTCAACAACTGGAAGTCTTGAAGGGCTACACGCCTTAAAAACAGGCCATCTAGTCTCATTATCTGAACAGCAGCTCATGGACTGCTCAGGTATTGTCTACCATGTATATTGTTAGCCTGTACTCTGTGTGTGTGTGTGTGTGTGTGTGTGTGTGTGTGTGTGTGGGTGTGGGTGTGTGTGTCTGTGTCTGTGTCTGTGTGTGTGGCACTGCCATCCCTTAGTGCTCTGCATGTGTGGATGATTGCAATGAATACAATTAACCTTTATGCATGCTCTGCTTATGAATAACTTTTGTCCAAAAACTGCACAGTGTATAATTATCCCATTATTTCCTAAACAATATGATTTCCATATTTTGCATGATGTTATATAGTCAAGTATGGTAACAATGGTTGCGATGGCGGTAATATGAGATCAGCTTTTCAATACATCAAAGATGCTGGTGGCGATGATACAGAGGAGAGCTACCCGTACACAGCTAAAGCAAGCTAGTAGTTTATAATGACCCCATATTGATCTTGTGTCTACAAATAGAATGAGAGCTGTCGTTTTGATCCAAAGAAGGTTGGTGCAACAGATGAAGGGTATGTGCGTATACCCTCTGGAGATGAAGTATCATTGATGCATGCTTTGTATGAGGTCGGACCAATCTCTGTGGCAATGGATGCTGGACTTAAAACTTTTCAAGTACATGCATGTATTGTATTGTATATTATTTAGTCTTGTATGATTGTATCATTAAATGTAGTTTTATAAGAAAGGAATATATTCTGATTATCTGTGTTCAAATACTCATCTCAATCATGGAGTAACTCTTATTGGGTATGGAGAATCCAGTGATGGTAGCCCTTACTGGTTAGTGAAGAACAGGTAAGTAATGTTAGTTTCAATTCTTGTCTTCAATTGATGTTGATTTTTGGATTATAGTTGGGGAAAAGACTGGGGAATTGATGGATACTTTATGCTTGCAAGATACGTTGGGAATATGTGTGGAGTAGCAACTGATGCTTCGTACCCTATTCTGAAATAAACACACATCGTTGATACTAACAACTATTCTTATAGCTTTGTGTTATTTTAAGCTGATGCTTTGTATTATTGTAATTACATCATCGATTGTACTTTCAGTTAATTACATATCATATGATCAGCAATGAATGAATTTAAGCTAAGGCATGTGACTAGTGGTTACTGCGTAGTCAAAGAAGGTCACCACAGTTGCTGCTTCTTTTCTCTTTCCAGCATCACGTAAGTTACCTTGCTTTTAATAGCTTAAATTACCTTTTAAGAATACTTTAAGTTGTGATAGAATGAAAAGATGTAGTTGTAGCATCATTCATATTATGATAACTGTAAATTATTTTCATCGTACTCATACAAGTCATATGATGTGCCTTGCCATGCACATATAGCTGCTTATATGAACAATATTTTTTACCATTGCAGAGTTAGCTGTTTTTTTTTTGACATTTCAAAAAGATGAAGGTCATCCTTGTACTAGCTCTTGTAGCTCTAGCAGCTGCCAAGTTTGAATACACACAAGAGTTCCAGGAATGGAAAGTCAAGTACAACAAGGTCTACGAGACAAAGGATATTGAGCTTGCACGTCAAGTCATCTGGGAATCAAACAAGAAGTTTGTAGAGAACCACAATGCTAACTCTGACAAGTTTGGATTCACCGTTGCCATGAATGAGTTTGCTGATCTTGTAAGTAAAGCATATTGACTTCAAAAATTATTTCTTTTTGGATTGTAGGATGCTGCTGAATTTGCAAGTATCTTCAATGGTTTCCTTTCTCTTCCTAACAACAGTACTAAAGATTTCTATAAGAAAACTGGTGTCAAAGTTGCAGCAACTGTAGACTGGCGTGAGAAAGGTGCAGTAACTGCAATTAAGAATCAAGTGAGAGCTAAAAATTGAAACTCCATGCAGAATTATTTAATAATTATGTGCTATTTAGGGAAAGTGTGGATCTTGCTGGTCCTTCTCAACCACTGGATCACTTGAGGGACAACATTTCCTTAAGACTGGAACCCTCCTTTCCCTCTCTGAGCAACAGTTTGTGGATTGCTCAAGTAAAAAAAGCAGATCTTTGTAAAATTTTAAATATTCATTGGCATTAATTTACAGCCAAATTTGGTAACCACGGGTGCAAAGGTGGAACAATGGACAATGCTTTCAGATATCTTGAAACAGTTTCTGGTGACGAGACTGAAATGATGTACCCCTACACAGCTGAGGTAAATGCATTACTATAACACATATAGCTCGTTATTATTCTAATTAGGATGGATTCTGTAAGTTTAGATCCACTGAAGGGAAAGTTAAGTGTGAGGGCTACAAGGACATTCCTCGTGATGATGAAGATGCTCTAAGGGAAGCAGTAGCTACAGTTGGCCCTATCTCTGTTGCCATTGATGCTGGGCACTCAAGCTTTCAAGTATATAGTTAAATTTTTTATGCATTATTTTAAAAAAAGTTTTGTCTTGTAGTTGTACAAGGAAGGTGTGTACTACAATCCAACCTGTTCTTCAACTAAGCTGGATCATGGTGTACTTGCTGTTGGCTATGGTACATATGAGGGATCAGAGGAGTATTGGCTTGTCAAGAACAGGTACTAATGTAATAATCAATGCTTCATTTGAGATTCATTTTCACTATGCAGCTGGGGACCTAGTTGGGGTATGGAAGGATACATCATGATGAGCCGTAACCGAGAGAACAACTGCGGCATTGCTACAATGGCTTCCTACCCTACTGGTGTCAACTAAGCCATTGGACATCCTGAACTAATATATATACATGTATATATATTATTGCTAAATGATGCTAATTTTTGCTGCTTTTTGGTATTATTTTTGCTGATTTTTTATATTTAATGAGCTAGACTAGTCAAGGGCCCTTATCACATGATGCCTGAGTGCACTATGATTTTGGTTAATATAAACAATGAAGGCTTTGATTGCACTAGCTCTTGTAGCTCTAGCAGCTGCCAGGTTTGAATATACCCAAGAATTCCAGGACTGGAAAGTCAAGTACAACAAGGCCTATGAGACAAAGGAGACTGAGCTTGCACGTCAAGTCATCTGGGAATCAAACAAGAAGTTTGTAGAGAACCACAATGCTAACTCTGACAAGTTTGGATTCACTGTTGCCATGAATGAGTTTGCTGATCTTGTGAGTGACAAGTTAAAAGCTGCTATACTACCTGTATAATAGGGTGCTGGTGAATTTGCAAATATCTACAATGGTATAATCCCTCATCCTCCTTCCTACAACAATACCAACACTTTCAAGAGAACTGTTAGGTCTACTTTTGCCTTAGCTGATAGTGTAGACTGGCGCAAAAGTGGTGCAGTAACTGGAGTTAAGAATCAAGTGAGTCACTAGTTTATTGTTCTTACTCTGCAGTGCATTCATTGCTAAAGGGCAAGTGTGGAGCTTGCTGGGCATTCTCAGCCACTGGTGCTCTGGAAGGACAGCATTTCATCAACACTGGTACCCTAATCTCTCTCTCTGAGCAACAGCTCATGGACTGCTCAAGTATAGGAAAGTATTGCAATGGCACATTTAAGATTTTCTATAATACAGGCTCTTTTGGTAACAATGGGTGTAAAGGTGGGCTGATGGATAATGCATTCAGATATCTTGAAACAGTTGCTGGTGATATGACAGAAGAAGCATATCCTTACTTGGCTGAGGTATAAACTATACTATAATATGTGATTATAATTATTGTGACCTTTAAAGGTTGGAACTTGCCGTTATAATAGTTCCGAAGCAAAAGTTAAAAACACAGTTTACAAAGACATTCCTGAAGGAGATGAAGATGCACTGCAAGAGGCCGTAGCTACAATTGGACCTATTTCTGTTTCCATTAATTCTGAACACTCAAGTTTTCAAGTATGTAAATTCGAATAATATTTTGATTAACTTACTAATGCAGCTTTATGATCAAGGTGTGTATTATGAACCTACATGCTCTTCAAGCAAGTTGGATCATGGTGTACTTGTTATTGGATATGGTACTAGTGATAATAATGACTACTGGCTTGTGAAGAACAGGTATATACATAATGTATTGATGGTTGGTAGCAATATTATTGTCCTTTAGTTGGGGAACCAACTGGGGTATGGATGGTTACATTATGATGAGTCGTAACAAAGAAAACAACTGTGGTATTGCTACAAGGGCCTCTTACCCCACTGGTGTCAATTAATCTCTGAATAATAATATTTTTTAACAATAATTTTGTTTTTACTGTAATTTTTACTGTAAGCTGTGTTGATTTCAATAACTATTAATTAACTAGAGTGGAGAGGGTGTGTCTAATTGTTGGGCGTGCCATTTTCTCGAAACTTCTCAAAGAATAGCAACACTTCCAAGTGCTCATAGAAAACTGTAGTTGTTTATAGCTCAATTTCTTCACTCTTATACGGAGAGAGTGTCTAATGGCGTCTGGTGACACGTCCTACTACGAAACTTTGGGTCTATCAAAGAATGCAACTGAAGAAGAGATCAAAAAAGCGTAAGATCATCACAAGTTTCAAATCATTGAATTTCATACAACAGGTACCGTAAACTAGCACTCAAATGGCATCCCGACAAGAATCAGGATAATGTGGAGGAGGCCGACAAAAAATTCAAAGAAATTGCTGAAGCCTACGAAGTCCTTAAGGACCGTAAGTGAATAGAATATTAAAATATTTTGGTTAATAAAACACAATTTCCAGCTGAAAAAAGGAGTCTGTATGATAGATATGGTAAAGAAGGACTCAAACAAGGTAAGGATTCTAGGAATTGCATAATTGTATTCATATTTTAAGAAGAACTATGGTCTGTTATCACTACACTTACCACATTCAGGGGAAGTCCCTTTATGGGATTTTCCCTATTTAAAACTTGAATTTTTATTGTTCTGTACAACAATCCTAGTCAGGCGGGCCTA